TGCGCTACCTCAATGTCCATGCTCATGCCATTCCATCCCCGATATGCGCCGCGGATTCTCTCGTGATGGGTGCGGTTGACAAAGATGTCTTCCAAGAGATAGTCGCCGGTTGTCTTCTCCATCCCGGGCCCGCGCACACGCCCGTCGCAAACAACCATCATGCCCCGCTTGTGGTGCTCAATGCCGACCTGGTCCACGAGCGAGTCGAGCGAGTGGCTGCACTCTTCAAACGTCTCGTTGTAGCAGGGCATAATGTAGACCAGGTCTTCCGTGTGGTCAGGCTCGATGATGGGCTCGGGTCGGATGACGTTGCGGAGCTTGAACACCATCAGAGAGACAATCATGGTGCAGTTGAGCGCCAGTGGGAACATGATGAACGGCAGGTATGCATAGTAGTAACGCGACCAGTACCAGGAGGAGAAGATGAAGAGCGTGTTCAGGCAGATGAGACCAAATGTGAAGAGATACTTCTGGAAGGTGATCTTGCGCTTGCCTCGCTGGATGATCTTGTCCGTGGCCCGCTGCACATCGCTGGCTTCTTTGATGGCGGCTGCAGGCGATGGGTCTGATGTAGTTTGAGTCTGCTGGGTAGGTTGGGTAGGTGACTGAAGATGAGCCTGCGGCAGAGCAGTGATTGCCGGCTCCGCCGCAACCGCGGCTTCTGACGACTCCGGGCGGGAAGACTCGCTGCTGCTGCGCTCATTCGAGAAGCGCGATGTTCTCCTCAGGCGTCGAGCATTGCTAGCTGAGCTGCCTGGTCGCTGAATGTCTCTTGCTGGTGGTGCCCGAGGCTTGAAGTAGTCGCGGTGGCTGCTGGCGGTATGCGCCTGGAGCACATCGGCGGTATCGGGCGTCTGGCCGATCGATGTCCTGGTCGACACGCTGGCTGACGGCTGCGTTCCTTCTGATGACTCCTCATAATCCTCAAATGGGTTGCCGCCGCGGGCTGGTCTCCGCGACGAGCTCGCGTCCGACTCCTCAGAGTCCCATTGCGAGGCCTTACCTAGCCTGCCGGGAGCAATATACTGGCGATTCGCAGTGAATCTAGGCGGTTGCAAGTCGCCCTGTGCCAATGGCGGTGTGCGGGAGTCCTACAGAGTCAATGACCAGGAACATGATTATCTGCTTGCAAAAGATCTGCCACGTACCTTGGTGTTTTGCACAAGGCCACCCTGGTCCACGGCCGCAGAGAGGCTGCTCTGTGGTCTTTGATCTGTAGTTGAACCCATTATCGTCCCGGATACTCAGACACAGAAAGTCAAAAGAGTGATGACAATGGGTGTTGAGTTGACAACAGACCTAGACTGGTCACAGTGGTGATCCGTTGGGGCAACCTCACCCCCAAAAGCGACGGACCATTGAAAACATGGCGATGCGAATGTCTTTAAAGGGTAAGCTGGGATTTAGGTAGTTAGTGCGTTTGTGTGTGTTTGCATCGCATGAGGAGCGAAGGGGAGGAGAAGAGCAGACCCCCAGCGGCGCATTGTAAACAGACAGACAAAGATATCACACGCCCCCCCTCCCCTTGGATTTCTAGTCCATGTTCACGGTAGCGCACGTTCGAAAATAACTTGTTGGAGATCCCGCAGACCGTAGTGGCTGACTGAGTCAGGCGCTGGTTAATAGGTGCGCTGATCGCTTGCTCAGGGCTGAGGGGAACAAAGTAAAGTCGGTGGGACAAAAGACTGCATTGCAGTGTGTGCCCTGGCTGCGATCCACCTATTGATTGATGGATGCGATTCGATCCAGCGCAACGCAATGCAACGCAACCCTGTCTGCTGTTGCGTCCGGTACGGTGGCAGCGCAGCCGTGAATACGACCCAATTGCTCATGGGCCGCCCAGCTCAGCCCAGGTCCAGGTCTCTCGGCCCAAGCGGCAGGGTCACGGCCCGGGGATCGATCTCAGCTCTCCACAGGATCAGCTAGTAGTGTTGGATCAAGCATAAAAAGATGCCTAAGTCAAGTACGGAAGTTTGTGCTACCGTCTCGTGCTGCTCAGGTACGGACTGCGGAGGCTGCCATGCGTCCGGAATTGGGCACTCCTGTGCGAGTCGGCACCGTTTCAGGTACTCGAGGTACAGTGTGCACGCTCGTAGCCTCCTCACATTGCTTCTCGCGAAATGCGTAGCTAGCATTAGTCCTCCACCAAGGCTTCGGAAACGGGCAATATTCAAGTAGATCGCGCAGTGTCCCAGCCTCCCGGGCGGACAACAGAGAAGTGCCCATGCTTCGTGATGCGCTGTGTCGCCAGCCACCGGCATACTTGAAAAAGATCACCCGGGGCGTCACTAGTGGACGGGCCTGGACGCTTGTACAAAAGCCAAACGAGCGACTCCTAGGTTTGGGAAGCACAACCCGGGTCGGCCTTGGCCGTCAGCGCATGGGCAAGATCCGACGCGGCGCTATAGATTGTTCTGATGGTGCAATTCCTGGCGGAACGAGACTCAAATTTGGATATCCACTCAATCTATGAGCCGCTGTACTTCATCAGGCTGATCAGAGCGAACGAAGAAGAAACGAGTTGTTGATGCAGCTCCTCATTCGCCATCCAGCTGTGCCAACGCTCTCGTCAGCACGCAATACGAGCATCGAGGCGGCCGGGCGTGGAGAAGCCGAAGTGAAATCTCGAGATGTAGTTTGACTTTTCATCTTCCAGCCGCCTCAAGTGTGGACTCCATGGGTCGCGTCCTCAAACCTGGCCTTTGATCTCCAAGACAGGGTACAGGGCCAAAGGGAATATTGATGCAGTGCAACCGTCGCCCCAGACTCGAGCCGCTGCAAAGAAGAGAAGAAACCCCAGAAGTAAGCAATACAGCCTCTTGTACAGCGCAGCATTTGCCTCCATGCCATATGGCGCGCTGAATTCACGGTAGCCTCTCACTGGCTGTAGAAAGCGCAGGCATAATACCGATACAGAAAACATGCAGCGGTCGCATTATCCGGCGGGGATTATGGTGGCAGCGGCAGCAGCAGTGACAGCCGTAAAGCGAGCAAAAGCCACCGGCTGCTTGCGTTCCGTATTGTGCCAGCCAGTGCCTTGTGTTGCAGTTGGTGAAGCCTCTTGTCCTCTGCCGACAGCACGACGGGTGGGGGGAAACAAACGACAAAGTCTGATCATCGTCAGCTTCTAATTAGTCTAGGCTTTGCAAGTGAGGTCCCAGCTCAGCCTTTCAGCGCAAACATGCCGATGGCTGCGCTGACCGAGGGCCGAGCCTGGCAAGATCTGCAACCGCCGGGAGGTGCAGCACGGCGCTGAGCTTCAGCTGTCCGTAATAATTGACCGGGGGGCACAGACAGAGGCGGCTGCTACTGCGAGTCCAGGTGCAGCACCGCAAAGCGACGGACATTTCATCCGCCTCGATGGATCGCTGAAGATCGAGCGTCGCAGCACGTTCCACGACGATTCAGCCAAAGGTACTGCATTTCATGGCTGCGTTCGCCTGCGCCAATCGGCCCCCTCAACTGGAGGGAGAGGTTGCACTGCATGTTTCCATTTTTGAACCATTCGGAAGACGTCTTCCTCGATACCCTATTCACTCTGGCCACGCTGGGGCCTCTGCGCGGTACGAGCGAGGGAACGTGCTGCGTACTCTCGTCGACGTCGTCACGAGAAGAATTGAGCAAAAATAAAGCCCATGTAGCTAGAATGCTAGATCAGCAGCGCTAAACTTTAGTTGACCCTGGTGGGCCGGCACATCAGGCTCCCCCTGACCGGCTCGCACAACTCAGGGTTAGAAGCGTGGTGCCAATTTCAAGGCCAGCTTGCTGCTGCAGCGTCAGCCAAGATTTGTGGGGTCGGTGGTCTCGTAAAGTCGCTTCTTGCGTGCTGCCAGCTCGATCCATGTCCAACGTTCACCAAGCCTGTGTTGGGTACTGCTCCTCGGTTGCCGCAAAGGATCAAATATTGCCGAATCAAGGCAGGCAATAACGCAACCAGATCAAAGAGGCTGCCAATTCGGGGGGCGCCGCGAGACAGGAGCCTCTCCTCTGGCGTACCATGCGGAAGCACTCCGCTACCGCAGTGGTCACTTCATTTCGCCAATGCCAGGACTTGGACCGCAAAAGCTGACCTCCAGCTTTCTAGAAAAGGTGTGCCTTGTGAAGTTCTGCGCACGGCTTATGCAGCCAACGTTGCTTTCAACAAAGACGAGCCCACCGGCCGGGCCAAGGCTAGACTCGCCGATCCTCAATGGCACGCTTGTCCGTCCTTGTCTCCAGGCACGCCGCCATGTCGAGTACGCCGAATGGGGGAGACAGTACCAGGTACAAGCCAGGCACAGCCGTCGATCGATTGGGTGATACGTCGTGAACCTGTTGATCTGTCTCACGTGTCCGGGTAGTCCGAGGCGAAGGACACAGGCACTGCTCCTGTTGCCATTGTCGTGCTTTTCGACCATGACGGGCCCATTCCCAAGTCTATGCCGAGATCAGCCAGACCCAGCACCTAGACTGAGCTGAAACTCGCAAAGATAGGCCTATATGTCTGTTGTGAGACTGGGAGCCCAACGTCTGGACAACCTTGACGGCAGCTGCGGCGCCGGAACCCTGCGTGCGTCGCGGGTAGCACTTGGTGCTGCAGGCTCATAAAATCGCATGGACAGTGCCCAGCCTTGCTAGGCATCGCAATGCAGCGTTTCTCTTGAGGTGGTCTCCATCTAGTTCCGTGCGGAGCTGAGAGTTCCTTTGTCGTCGGTGATCTCGGCCAGTCGCGCTGTTGCACACGCCCCTGCTTGTCAGAATACAACCTGCGCGCGCACAATACCCATCGACTCTTCGCCCCGTCTTGCTCTGCAATGCCTCGCCCGCCGGCTTTCATTGACTTCATTTTGTATACGCATCAGCGCAAAGGAGTGAAATACCACGCCGTCCCTGCACCTTGGCACCCTCGGGAGCCTACTTTGCTCGGTGCGTAGCAAGCGGCTTGCCTTTGCTGAAATCCACCTCGACTTTGCCTTGCTCTCCCTCCTCGTTTCTCCTGCTGTTCGTTATCAATCCTCAAAATGGCAACAGTCTTGCCAGCCGAAACCAGACACAGCGTTCTTGTTGGGCTGCAAGAAGTTCCAGCAAGCTCCTTCGTTGATGCCACTACCAACCATGACGAATATCCATGGAGCTACCTGACGGCAGACACATGCCCAAGTACTCCGCCCACCTCCGTCAGCGATTGCCAAACAGAGATCAGTCGGCCGTCATCACCTGTGAGACCTGACGACCAACCCATTGTTGCCGTTCTGGGCGTGGGCTACGTCGGCAGCCATCTGGTCGAGTCATTCTCCAAGCGTTACGACGTGATCGGGTTCGACGTCTCGCACGCCCGAGTCCGTCAGCTTCGAGAGGATAATGCTGCCAACGCGTCAATGGAGTTCACAGACAATGCTCGGAACCTCTCCAGGGCAACACACTTCCTAATTTCTGTACCAACGCTCCTGCGTCCAGACAGGACGATTGACTCTTCGTACCTTAGGGAAGCAATCAAGACCGTGGGGCAGGTGGCCCGCCGTGGCTCAACCGTTGTTGTCGAGAGCTCTGTTGCCGTCGGCATGACCCGGCAATTGCTTGGTCCCCTGGCTCAAGCGAGTGGTTTCTTCGCGGGAATGTCTCCAGAGGTAAGATCCCACTTGACATCCAAAACCAAATGCTTCTGATTACTGACCACCCACAATCAGCGTGTCGATCCCGGTCGCGTCGAGCCGCCCGTCCAAGCCATACCGAAAATCATCTCCGGCCTTGACGATGTGGTACCCGGGTCTCTCGATGCCATCCATCGCGTGTATCGGACCATCTTTGACAATGTAGTCACGGTCTCCAAACCTGAGGTCGCCGAGATGATGAAGTTGTACGAAAACTGCCAGAGAATGGTGTGCATCGCCTATGCCAACGAGATGGCGGACGCGTGCATTTCCCACGATATCGACCCCTACGAGGTATGCAGTGCAGCGTCGACGAAGCCCTTTGGCTACATGCCCTACGCACCCGGGGTGGGAGTCGGCGGCCATTGCATCCCAGTCAACCCGTTCTACCTGCTGTCAAACAACAGCTTCCCGCTTCTTGAGGCCGCAACGAGCGCCATGTGGTCCCGGCCTGCGAAGATTGCAGACAGGGCGCTCGAGTCGTTGCGGAAATTGCCCAAGCGGTCCGCGAAGCCCAGGGTGTTGGTGGCAGGGATGGCCTTCAAAGCTGGGCAAACGTCGTTGAGCAACTCCCCTGGCTTGGATCTTGCAAAGAGCCTCGCCATCTCGCAGGAGGCCGAGGTGATCTGGGCAGACGCGCTCGTCGATCAGGACGCGATCCCGCAGATCCCCCGTCTTGCAGACAGCGAGTGGACTGTCGAGGCGCTCGAAACATTTGACCTAATCATTGTGGCTTTGAAGCAGCGCGAGATGAACTTTGCTGTGCTGAATGAATTGAGGGGCACCAATGTTGAGATGTGGTGTCGTTGATAAGCGGAAAAGGTTCGATTGGTGGGCGTTGGAAATTGTCTCTGACGATGGCACGACCCATCACGTGCCACTACCACCCATGAAGTGCTCCTTCCTCAGCACAGATGGCTGGCTCAAGGTGATTTCTTTGGATACGCACATGGAATAACTTGATTCTTTGGAAGGGCACAGTTTGAAAAATGTAAAATGTAGAAGCGATTGGAAGACCAGTACGTACACAGAGGAACTATGACACTGAGATACACTGTCTGGGTAGTACAAGGAAGCGATGTGCTGCCGTCAACAGCTAGAGCAAGACTTGAGTCCCGTGCCATACAACAAGATCAATAAAATCCTGAGCGAACCAATGATCGAGTCGAGGAAATGCCTGACAGGCTGAATGACCTCACTGGGCGTACAGCGTCGCTATATAAGCCCAACCAGCCCGCATGGGCCGCGTCACTGAATCCCAGCTTCTCTCTCAACATTTGATCGGGAACCAGCCTTCGCACAGCATGTCCTCATTCGCCAACGCTGTATACTATCCGTCTTGGAAAGTATACAAAGGGAAGCCGCCGTCCTCGCTTGATGTCCGCGTAGCCACGCATGCATTCTATGCGTTCGTGAGGTGCGTACACAACGACACATACGGAATATTCTGACAAACGGCAGGGTCAATGAGAATGGTACACTCCGGGTACGCGCTGTTCTTGGATGCTTGCCCAATATGCTGACTCCAAACACGATAGCTCCTGGACGAGTTTGGTGATTTGCAGAAACAGGTCGATGTGGAGCAAGGGTGCCTAGCCGCCTTTGCAAAGATGAAGCGAGAGAACCCGCACTTGAAGACACTCGTCTCGATAGGCGGTGGCTCAGGGAGTGCCGAGTTCCCTATCATGGCTGCCGACCCTGCAGCGAGGGAAACGTTTGCGAGAGAAGCGCCCAACTTCTGTGACAAGTACGAGTTTGATGGGGTCGATAGTGAGTCGATGCATTGTTTGTGGGCAACTTTCATTTACTAAACGGAAAAGTCGACTGGGAGCATCCCACCCGATGCGATGAGGGCGAGAACTATGTCAAGCTGCTTTGGGATGTCCGCAGGGCTCTACCGGCCCCTGCGTACCTCGTTAGCACAGCCCTGCCGGTCGGTCAATACTGCCTCAAGCACATTGACCTGAGGATGGCGGGTGCCCTCCTTGACTTCCTCAACCTCATGGCGTATGACTTCACCGGGGCCTGGACTGACGTTTGTGGTCATCAGGCCCAACTGCTGGCTCCGCGGGAGGACACGTGCTCGACGCTTCGCAAGTCAGGCGCCGCTGGTGTCGACTTTGTAGTCGCGAATGGCTTCCCAAGGGAGAAAACTCTACTTGGCGTGCCAGCGTATGCCAGGTATTTCCCTCAGGCCAGCGGCCCTGGGCACTCATTCCCCAGCGCTGGGGAGATGGAGTACTCTGATATGCCCGAGAGCTGGATCTCGGATGCGCACATAGACCATCATGCTGCAACGGCGTCATATGTTGACTCGGAGGGCGGGAAGGGCTTCATTACGTTTGATGTGCCGGGTACAGTGTCAGCGAAAGCACGATACGTGAGGCGACAGCAACTCGGGGGTCTCTTTTACTGGACTGGCGTTGGCGATAGGCAGGGCAGTCAAAGTCTGGTCGCTGCCGGCTTGGCAACGCTTAGCAACTAAATTAGACTTTAACCGTGCGGATCGGTAACCTTATCTGAACAAGTTTCTCGTGGTCAAAACCAGACTCCTTGGAAGAGGCCCTTCCTCTCAGCCACGCAACAGCGTCATGTGGGTTGCCCACCTCGTGATTCATTGCGCACGGGGGGCTGTGCATGGCGTCGGGACGTGCACGAGGAAGCGTGAGGCCGCTCGAGATCGTGGGCGTGGACTTAGATCGCATGCCTCATCGGCGCCAGAGAGCGAGAAACTGATAAAACCAAGGAAGCGGAATGACGCCTGCGCATGAGCTAAACGGGAAGTGGGAGATCGGCTCAGCGTTTTCTGCAGGTCTTTGACGAAGAGTGGCCCTCGCCTTGAAACAGGGGACTTGAGAAGGTGAGTTAGCGTACCACAGCCGCGCCATTTCGTCATCATTGTGGTGGGTGCAATCAGGATGTCGCCTGTTCAACCAAGACTCAGGACGCATGATAAATACGGTCAACCTCCCTGTAATTAGTTAAATCCTCCTTTTTGAGTAGCAGTCCTCCTCAAATTCTTTTCTCTTGATAACACGTCCAATTGTGAGTATGATCAAATCAGTCCTGTGGACGTCAACCGTAACTGACATGGTATTCAACAGTCAAGTCTTCAAAAACTACGTCATCGCCTCAACCACAACCACAACGTCGCGATGGGTCTCCAATGGGTTAAGGGTATCGGCGGTCGCCATTTCGGCACCAGCGTTCACGTCAATAAGAACGGTGTTCATCGTGGTGCTTGGCGATTTTCCCTTGGCAAGTTCAGCTGCTTCAGACGTTAAGAGATCATCATCAAAGTATCCGACATGGGCTTGAACTTGGATGGAAGAGAACAGCAGGCGAACGTGTCATCAACCCGATCAAGAAGCGACGATTGGGGTTTGCAATATGATAATTAATGATTCTTATGATAGCGCTTTAATGAAAAATGCTACTAGACTCATGACTGAACCCTTCCAGGGACTAGGTCTTGGTTGACTTCTTTGATGATGAGGTTCCTGCAGGGTAAGGCAAGTAAGGTAGAGCAATTTGAGCCAGGAGCCATTCCAGGCACCCGCCCGTCACTTGGGGTCCCACTATTCGCGACTTCACATCCCACCACGCGTTCAACTTCACCCCGAGCCATCTGCACACCACAGCAGAAACAGCAAGTTCTTTCCTGCCAAGAATGGAATAGAAATGGAGCCATGGCGATATTGAACTTCACTCTGAGCGAGGAAGGCGTCACTGCTCTCCGGGATGCCCTCATCTGCCTCAGCAAGTTTAGTGACGATGTTTCGCTCGAAGCTCGCAAAGACTCGGTACGAGCAGAGACCCCGACCATTCAACAAGACTGACAGCACCAGTTCACATTGACCACGCTCAATATCACCAAGTCAGCTTATGCGAGCTTCAAGTTCGGGCCCGGCCAGTTTTTCTCGCGGTACTCTTTTCAAGGAACGGGGCCGTATCGCGAGAAGTTCTACTGCACGCTCTTCATCAGGGTGAGTGAGCTGCCGTCGCTGCCAATGCTCAACTGACTCCGTAGTCGCTCATCTCCATCTTTCGAAGTCGCACCAGCGTGGACACGCAGCGCGACGTCGAGAGGCACACGGTCATCGAAAAGTGTGACGTGGCGATCGAGGACGGCGAAGGAATTTCCAGTCGCTTCATTGCGCGAATCGTCTTCAGGAATGGCCTCACCAGCACGCATCGCCTGCCCTTTGAGGTCGCGGTGCCGGTGCACGCAAAGTTCAATAAGACTGACTCTCCGCACCATTGGGTCATTGCCTCACGGACACTGCGCCAGCTCATGGACCACTTTGGACCGGGCATCGATTTGCTGGACATTAACACAGATGGGGACCATGTGAATTTTACGTGCTTCAGCGAGAAGACAGTCTCAGAGGATGGTAAGTTGTCTGCACTATTTTCAAGGCCTACGCTGATCAAGTAGCTGTTCTCAAGAAGCCACTGCAGACGTCCATTGCCGTCGAAGCTGACGAGTTCGATGACATCGATGTTGAAGACAAGCTGCATATTGTTATTTCCGTCAAAGACTTCCGAGCAATCATACAGCATGCTGGAATCACCGGGAACGTCATCTCAGCCCGTTACTCACTCCCAGCCCGCCCGATCCAGTTCTCCTACGGCGGGGAGGCTATCAGCTGTGAATTTCTGGTCATGACTGTCGGCGAGCGTGGCAGCAATACCTCGCACAAAACGAAAAAGGGACGCAAAAATCAACCACCGAGCAATGCTCCCCGTCTTGAAGCTGCTTCTCGTAGGACCAGTGTAGCTCCCTCGGAGGCGCCAGGCCAGGACGCTCAGCAAATGCCCCCTCCACCACCGGCTTCAAGGAGACCGCCGAATTTGACACCTCAGATGTCGGCTCCTCGTGCAAGTGCTTCTCGTCTCGGTGCGTTCGACCTCCGCCCGACTCAACAAGCACCCCCACCAGCGACGCACAACTCGGAAAGCCTCTTCGTAGATGACGAAAGCTGGGAGCCAATGAGAGACGAAGATGAAGAGGAAGATAACGCCAGGTTGGAATGGGATCACAGTGCTGAAACGGTGAGTCGGTTTCCAGCCTTAGTGCCTCTCGCTAACTTGCCAGAACCCGGCCGAGTTGCGAATAAAGAGTATGATGGATCAAACCGCTCAGCCAGCCCCCGACGCGAATGCCGAAGACGCCGCAAACGCAAATCTCGAGTCGCAGGCCCTTGAGCCGACCCAGAACATGTCGGAGGTCCAGAATCTGGCTTTGTTCCCTGACTGATGCGATCATGATGCTGGGATACCGGATGAGAAGTGTTGTTAAGCAGGATTGCCCGCCTCCGCGATATATACCCAGCTAGTTGCACATCCTGCCCCAATGGCTTCCACAGCAGAGCCATTTGGTATGAATTTTGACGACGCAATGACATTAAAACGTCCCTTGACAATGTTATCCTCGACCTTGGGACCGCAATTGCCGTGCTCGCCCCATCCCCAAGAAAGGACGTCGCCAGTGTCAGCGAGCGCAACGACATGTTCGCTCCCGACAGCTATCTGTGCAAGTCTCGGTAGGTCCGGCGGAGGCAACTGACCGTGATCATCACGGCCCCACGCTTCGAGTTTCCCTTGTCTGGTGAGAATGTAGATGTTCCCCCAGCTCGCGCCTACGTCGATCCAGTCCGGAGCGGTGACGGGCGCGGACGACTGCAACGACCACTTGTCTGACCCCATCACCTTGAAATCCCCTTTGGCAGGATCGCCAAAAAGACAGGTTGCCTCCTTGCAGCACACGGCCCTGCGCACTGGGAAGCCTACGTCTTCAATCTTGCGAGAGGCGTATAGAACGGCCGCAGGCTGTCCAGTCTGACCTTTGCGGCAGTTGCCCCAGCCGTATGCATCTCCATTGTCCAGAACAGCGACAACATGGCCCATGCAAGCATGCAAATCGACGATTTCTGTGTTGGGTGGTGGAAAGCCTGTCAAACGCGTGGCGGTTGGGGTCCGAACCATCATCTCACCCGCACCAAGCTCCCCCTTCGAACCGACACCGCATGTGAAGACTGCCGTGTTCTTGCCTTTTGCATCTTTAGCGACGAAGATGGAAGCTTCCCATGTAGCAGCAATCAGTGAGATCTCGCCAATGCCCGGCTCGCCATCCCTGACCAGCTTGATTTCCAAGAAAGCAGGTAGATTCGTTCGAGGTCCGATTCCACAAGCTCCGCTTGTGCTATCGCCACTCCAATACACCTCTCCTCCTTTGGACAGGATGAGTGTGTGGTTTCCTCCCGCAGCGATTTTGACGATAGGTGAGTTTGGTTGTGAAGGATGGAACAGGACTGGCTTAGGAACCGACACATCCTCCTTGTGACCTATGCCGAGCTGGCCTGAGCCATTGGATCCGATGGCAAAGACAGCGTTCATTTTATCATGTTCAAACGCAGCGTGATGCCGTGATTAAACGACCATGGTCAAAAGCCATCGACCCATATGCAGTTAGATAACACCCCGCTTAGTAGCATATAGCTCACTTGAGAATATGCACGTGCCACATGCACATAACCCCACCTCATATTTCCTGTAGAGCTAAACCCACTGCACGAAATTTCTCAACTCCCAAACCATCCTTCCTCACCAACCTCGACAAGTCCTTCGTTGTTCGCAATCCACGCAACGATAGACCCAGTGACGGTTGCAAGTGCACCAGCATGTGAAAGGTTTCTCTGGCATTGTTCTCTACGATCCGAACCGCACACAATGGAGTCGACAGCACCGAGTGACTACGCCCAGCCGGGCATGGAGAACTTTGTTGTCGGTCTCATTGGTATGGGCGACATGGGCAAGATGTATGCCGAAAGGCTATCTGCCGCTGGCTGGAGGTAAGTTCTTGTCTCGTCGGGTCTGCTTGACCTGGCCTCCAGCCTCTCTTCAATTGGTGAGTCATTGATTACTGCGATTTCACCAACACACACTCTCTCCCCTTCGATGATGACTAGAGCGCATTTGGCTCGAGTATAACCTGGGGCTATCTGGTTTCCGTTCCGGCCGCTGGTGTCCGCCCTGGGTTGTCACTGATGTAAACGCTAGCTACCTTACTATAACTACTGTCTGAGAAAATCACCACATCTCTTGTCTTGTTTCACACCTCGTCAAGAACTATAGCTAACAGGCTTCAAGCAGATTGAGCAATTCGAGCGAGTCGGTCTGACCACAGTCGGTAGCATCTTGGCCTGCGACAGGGAAGACAAGTACGAGAGCTTGACGCAAGAATATGCCAGCAACGTACGGCCAGTCCCTTCGTGTCTCCTCTCGTATGCCATGATAGCTGAAGCGTCTCTTCACATCTATAGAACAGAATAGAAATATGCCCCAACGGTCACTATGTCTCCCGCGCAAGCGACTACATCATCTACAGCGTCGAGGCTGCTGTCATTGACCGTGTAATCGCCCAGTATGGACCATGTATGCCTTGCTCCCTGTGATTTTTCATGCGTTTTTCTCCCGCTCTTTGAAAGGACCGCCTTTAGTAACACAGAGTGTAGCGACAAAGCTCCGCGCCATTGTCGGCGGCCAAACATCCTGCAAATCCCCCGAGATCGCTGCCTTTGAAGCACATCTACCCGCCGATGTGTCCATCATATCCATCCACTCACTTCACGGACCTACAGTCGAGCCGGCGGGCCAGCCACTTGTACTCGTCCAGCACCGCGCCCCCGATGCCGCGCTCCACAAGGTCGAGGCCGTCCTCGCTTGCCTACGATCACGCTACGTCTACCTCTCCGCGAAGGAGCATGACCGGATCACAGCCGACACCCAGGCTGTCACACACGCAGCCTTCCTCTCCATGGGAAAGGCATGGCACGCAAACACGCAGTTCCCCTGGGAACTGGCCCGCTACGTCGGTGGGATAGAGAATGTCAAAATCAACACCATGCTGAGGATCTACTCGCAAAAATGGCACGTCTACGCCGGCCTCGCCATCCTCAATCCCGAGGCCAAGAAGCAGATCGCAGAGTACGCGCGCAGCGTCACGGATCTGTACAAGATCATGCTCGAGGGTGATCTACCCGCACTGCGACAGCGCATGTTTGCTGCCAGGGACAAGGTGTTCGGTGCCAATTCGAAATGGGGTTCTGGAGCGTCGGGACCTCTGCTACAACCCGCCGTCCTCTCCTCATTCTCCTTGGGAACGCCTTCTCCAGACTCCACGCCACGACCAAACAACCACCTCAGCCTTCTCGCGATGGTAGACTGCTGGGCGAATCTGGGCACTGTGCCCTATGACCACATGATCTGCAGCACGCCGCTTTTCCGCTTGCGGCTGGGTGTGACAGAATACCTGTTCGGCGACGAGGCGATGCTCGAAGAGACACTGACGACCGCTGTCAGCGACCTGACATACCGGAGCGACGACCTCGAGTTCACCTTTGCAGCTAGGGCCTGGGCGGAATGTGTCGCGATTGGACACTTTGAGACGTACGAGAAGCGCTTCCTGAGCACCCAGGAGTTCTTCAAGCCGCGTTTCGAAGAGGCCAAGATCATTGGTAACCAGATGATGAAGCAAATCATGGAAGGCGTCAAGGACAAGCCGCAGTGAGCTGGGAAATCACGATGATGCACGAGTAACGAACTATTGCTTCCTAGACCCTTAGAATATGTGGTAAATTGGCCTCGCTACACTGTATCCTACATATGGTGAATCTAACATCGCTGACATCTGCTGCCGCCTTTTGCAGTCATTTTCGGCAGTGCTTATATCTGTGTGATCACATCCGGCACCCTTAGCTCGACACTTTCTTCCAGTACGGCCACGCCCCGTCCAACTTGGAGAGGTGCAGGGGTAAACGCCCCTCTTTCGTCTTCCACGATCGTAGTAGCCAGTTGCTCACCCTTCTCGTCTTCAGCTGGGCCAATGGTGACCTGTTCAAGTGGTGTCTCGCACGCCTTCCTGAACGAACGCTCGCGGAAGGGCAGCGTGAGGCCGACATCGTACTCGCACTCATCCAACGGTGGAGGGGAATCGTCTGTCGAGGAGCTCCCAGATTGCGCCAGAATTTGAAGCGCGTTTGTCGATGGAATTGAGGTCAATAACTGACATCGAATGCTCTGATTAGTCTTGATGGACATGGGGCTTCTACCGTTGGAGATGCTTTCTTCCTTGGCCCATCCCAACTTGTGCAATTCTGTTGCGCTCTTCTTTCCGTAAAGGCTAGGCGATGGTGAAGGCGTCCATGGTGGCCGCGCACATGATGACTCGTCGTTTGATTCAGCATGCTCAGGGTCCTTGGTGAAGGCTCCTAGGTTCTCGCAACCTGGTGAAGGCTTCAAGTGACCTGCAGGCTCGGGTTGCATAGTGGGCTGCGGATCGACATGCGTACCATTGGGGATACCATTCGTCGCTGGTCCAATAGAAGCCGACAGCAATCGTCCTTGGCCAAGTTGCTGGTCAAGGAGCTCAAGCACGCTCATTGCAGAGCTGGATGAGGAGTCATACGAACATCTGGGGTGCAACTGGAGAAGATGTTAGCACGAAACTAGCCCAGCTTACAACCGACTTACCAGAGGCACAGCACGACATCCAATCATCCTCAGCCTCTCGGGATGTACAACGGGCCTTCCCCCATTACCATGAAATCCGAAACCAACAGCTGCGGTTGGGGGAGTCTCTCCCTTGCTGACACCGACCAGGCTGAGATACGCACGGTCAATGCATCCAGGTCGACATGCCGGGCAAACCATGTACTGGCATTCAGTCTCCCTGTCGGTGACCCAAGGGTGCTTGCTGCGCCCCTGGGCGCGAGGAACACGGGACTGTGAATCCAAGATCTGGCTGAGTATGTCGGTCTGATCTCGGAATACATCCCGCGCGATAGCGTGGTGCACCTTGGAATTTTAGTATTCAGGCTCCGTCGTTGGAAAGGTATTGGGATCTTTACCTCTTCACGTTGTCTGAGGATAGTGACAATCTGATCCGGTCTGTACTGTGAGAGCTGCTTCGAGTCCAGCTCCTCGAGGAAACTGAGCCGATCTCGTCTGGCCGCAGCACTTCTCTCCCTGATGCTCATCTGGGACGCAAACGACCTGCCCAGCTCGTCATCTGCCACCTGAATTCATTAGTTCCAGGACGACCTGACTTTTGGGAGACCTGACATACCTGATGGCCAGTTGCTGCGTCGAACTCGAGCATGTCCTCACGATCCTGAGTGCAGCGATAGACCCAACCGAACTCGCCGGGCTTCAGGCAGCATTTGCAAACGTGCTCCCCGTAAAGCCTGACCATGGTGATGTGTGTGCATTGAGGCTTATGTCTAGGCCGCGAGGGTATGCCTGGAGGGGCATGTGCCGAGTTCGGCATGGCCCAGGTTAATAGTGCGCGCAGAGCGCATGCAAGTAGTATGTCCAATTCGCCGAGAGCCCCTTCTTTGATCGAGAGTATGGCGCAGTTAGTCACAAAGAGGGAAAGGCAAGCAAGCTGAGCGAGGGATGCGAAATAGAACCAAGTCCGGTGCGTTGTTCGATAGAGACTGGTTCAGGCTTGAGGTGTGAGGTTCCAGCTAGTGAGAGCAATGAGAGTAAAACGAGAAAAATTTGAATTAGTCGGTCTCTAGAAGTCTGAAGTAGATGTGAGGAGGAAGTGCCGTGGGCCCTGATATTTAAAGATGGCGAATTTCATCTGACTTTCCACCATGGACGACGGCCAAGATAAGGTAGTACCTTACCTTAGCAGGCGCCCAGTATAAATGAGCATAAGTATCTGCAGGTGCCCTTTCTTGATTGCTCGCAGTGATCAGCTTTCCCACACTATGACAGCCAATTCACAGCGAGGAGTTGTGGGCGTAGTTAGCTGTGTTATAAACATGTTCATACCCCGTGGAAGTACCAGCGATGATGATGAAGAACGAGCGAACTACAGTGAAAAAGGGCCACGTTCGTCAAAATTGACCCGATATGATTGACTTTGTCATTGACGTTTATCACCATACACCAGTACGGTCAACGGGGCTCTGTGGGAGCGTCCATCAGCACTTTCGAGACAGCGTTGCGCAGAGGGTTGGGGAGTCTCATTTGCAATTACTCAAAGACTAGATCGAACATAGCAGTTACGCATCGAACTTTTGAGTGGATGCGACTTGGTGTAACTGTGAGAGATCACAAGTTCTTCATCATGAAAATGTAGGTAATCAGGAGAGCGTCGTTGACGACGCCACAGGTGCAGTACGGAGAACTTACTTGTCACGGATGTCAACAAAGACCATGCGCGTGTGGCGTCGGCAGCGTGGCTGGCCGTTGCTGGGAAAACAAAGACCCATCGTGCCTCGGCCTGTCCTGAGCCGCCAGCCAATCAAACAGTGTGCAGCACCTCTCCTGGCCTAGCTTGGCTCCAGCTCCGCCCAGCGTCCGGCCTAAGTCCAGTCGCGAGTCCGACCCGCCTCGTCACGTCTGGTCCCAAGCCCATCCCCATCCACCCAGACCCAGGCCTTGGTCCCTCCATTCCAGTGTCAGACATCATCGTCACCAACACCCCCCAGCGGCCCTTCGTCACAGCGCAACGACGATTCTCACGGCCTTGGACGGACGATTGTAACGGTCGACTCATGTGAGTAGCCCCTCTGTCATCACCCAAAATCACCAGGCGAACATGGCGGCCCAATCGCGGACAACAACACACGCAATGCGAGCAAGAGGGTGAAATTGTGTTGGGCTGGCATTGGCTTCTCCAGACACACGAACCCATTGGTCGGCATCATGAGACTGCTTGCCATCTCTCACACGTTCAAGTGGATGGAATTGTGCCACTAACACACCTGCTTCAGACCGCCTATCCTGCCCACAGCTGCGACCGCGCGACGACAACGAAACAGCCAGCGACCATGTCGGTCAAGTTCGAGAAGACGACGGAGGAGACGGTCAAGGCCGCGCAGAATGTCATGTCGGGCGCCGAGGGCGGCCACCTGCCAGGCACCAGCGGCAAGCACCCCGTCGCCGCTGCGATCGGCACCGCCTTGACGGGCGGCAAGGACATGGCGGGCGTCAAGGGCTATCTCGCGGCATACATCAAGCAGATTGAGGAGAACCCGCTGCGGACCAAGATGCTGACGGCCGGCACCCTGGCCGGTGCGCAGGAGCTGATTGCGTCCTTCTTGGCCAAGGACCGCAACAAGCACGGCAACTACTTCACCTCGCGCGTGCCCAAGATGGCGGCGTACGGTGCGCTCATCAGCGCGCCCCTGGGTCACTTTCTCATCTGGCTGCTCCAGCTGACCTTCCGCGGACGCACCAGTCTCAAGGCCAAGATCATGCAGATCGTGGTCAGCAACTTGATTGTAGGTCCACTCTTCTTCTCTTGTGTCTTCGTGGGCCGCTTGGACTGACCCTGTGTTCCCCCTCAGATTGCGCCGATCCAAAACAGCATCTACCTGGTCGCCATGGCCCTGATTGCTGGCGCTAGGACGTACCACCAGGTGCGCGCCACCGTCAAGGTCGGCTTCTGGAAGGTGATGCGCGTCTCGTGGATCACCTCGCCCATCTGCCTGGCCTTTGCGCAGAAGTTCCTGCCCGACCAGCTCTGGGTCCCCTTCTTCAACATTGTGTCGTTTATCATCGGCACCTACATCAACACCGTCACCAAGAAGAAGCGTCTCGCAGCGCTCCGCAAGAAGCACTTTGGTGACAACCGCAACAGCGGCATGGGCCGCCCCGATGAGTACAACGGTGGAATGGGTCCCAACCCGCCCTACTAGGCTGCTGATGCGGATGGTTGTGAGGCTGTGTGGAGGACTGGGACCTGGAACTCGTCTTGAGGACTTGTATGTATAAAGTATGAGCAAAAGGAACCGGATAGCGAGCAAGGTGTCGCGTAGGACAGGGAAGATTTCTGTGGATGATGTTGAGAGGCTCTTTGTACAAACTTCCACCTGGACGTCACGTTATGGTTTATGTATGCGGCGCGGTAGATATTTAGGGTGTTGTGTCGTTTCGACCGATTGGATATACACTTGTTTTTTTGATCATGTTCACGTCACCTATCCTCCTTCTATGGCAGGCTCCATCACGCCCTCTGTGTCCATCATCGAAGTCGGACTCCAATACTCCCACTCGCCTCTGGTCTGTTTGTCCACCCACAGCATGCCTTCCGACATGAGGTCGTCTATCACTGTTTGGCATCGAGCCTTTTCCCAGCCTAGGTTATCCCGCAACATGCTGACACTCACGTACCCCAGCACTTGTGCCGCCTCCACCACCGAGGCCTGGTCGTTGCTGAGCTCTCTTGGGACACTCCTCACATACTCCTTGTGTCCGACGCTGATGATCGCGTAGCTTCCACCCAAAGGCTTGAGCGTCTCGACCGCCCTCTTGACGTCGTCGGCCGAAATTTCGGTGCTGCCCTCCATTCTCCCCTGTGATACCCTCTCCGTGAGTTCCTTTAACCCTATCAGCCCACCATTCTCTCCTCGCGTCCGACTGCAGACCTCCACGACCCGCACCGCTAGTTCAAAGTAAAAATCGTTGACACTGCCGCCAAGCAGCTGCGCCCACAGTCCACCGCCTGCCCCGGATGAGGACGACGACGAGGAGGCAAGCGGGTCGACGCCGATCGCCGTGCACATGCGCGCAAACTGTGCGCGGAAGGCAGGGTCGGAGCGGATGTCCTTGGCGTGTGTCTGGGCGAATTGCTGGAGGAGGGACCGGAAGACGGTGAGTTGTGTGGTGAGGGCTTCGGTGTTGGAGGCGCGCAGGGACGAGCCGTGCGAGGCGAATTGGCGGGAGGTGAGCCGCGAGCGGTCGAATGCCCCGATTCCGACGCCCTTGCGTGACATGGTCTATCCTCGCCCGAGTTAAGGCGTCATGTGGTATGTCCAATGTTCGATGGAGGAGGACAGCATGGTGATGTATGGTGAGTGAGGGAGCGCCGGCGATGACGATGGTGGGGTTGATCACCATGTGTTCTTAACAGTGAGTTCTATATGTATAGCGCGAACATGGGCATTGACTTCATGGATAAATAAAATAAACCATTTCTTTTAAATGCTCTTGCTGAAAGTGATACTTTATTTCGTTAATTTTGCGCCCAGCGCCGGCATGCGCTGTCGCAGAGGGCGACCTTGTTGAGCGGTGATGTTCATGCGCACCAACCCCAACTATGCCGTCTATCAAGATTTCGCCAGCCGTCGTCACGTCGTTATCCTGCTCGCTGCTATGTACCTCCAGCAAACTACTGTGTCTGGCATTGTGCCTGACCATCATCCATGTCATCCTCGTCCTCCCACTCGGTCGCAAAGCGCGGGTCGCCTGAGTTGGCCCCCATCTACAACGGTCAGCGGTCGTTCTCAGCCTGAATGTCATATCCGGGGCATGTCTCACCTGCTCAATATCTGCGTCTTCCTCATATTCCACCTCATCCACCTCTTCCGCCTCTATGGGAGGGTTTGGCGGCGGCAGCATCTTCTGTAACGAGTCGTACTCCTTGTCGTCCTTGAGCCAGCCGTCCTCGGGGAACTCAATGTCCACAAGGAGATACAGGTCACCCTTGGCATCGCCCTTCTTCATGGGCATACCCTCGCCCTCAATCTTGAGGCAGTCGCCTGGCCTCAAGATGGACCCTCTCGGGCGCTCGAGTGCGATACCACGGCCGTCGAGATGCTTCAACACTGTTCGCGAGAACCCGCCGAGCGCCTCGCCGAGGGTGATCTTGAGCTCCGCCGACAAGTCGTAGCCGAGGCGGGTGAAATCATCGTGGGGTTCCTCCACCAAGGTGAAGATGATGTCTCCCGGGATCTGATCCGGGTTCTGGTCAGCCTCGCCCTCGAGCACGATGCGCTCGCCGTGCATCGAGCCTCGTGGGATGTAGATCTCGAGCGCCTTCTTCTCCTGCACCGTGCGCTTGCCCTTGCACTTCTTGCACCTGTCCTTCTCCTTGTAGACCTGGCCCGAGCCCGCGCAGTGGTCGCAGAGGACGGTCTCGCGGCGCATCATGCCGGGGCCGATCTGGCGGATCGCATCCTGCATGCCCTGGCCCTTGCAACGATCGCAGGTTGCCGACTTGGCCTTCTCCCGGCCTCCGGAGCCCTTGCAGGATCCGCACACAATCTGCTTGTTGGCGGCGAACTTGACCGTCTTGCCACGGTAGAGCTCCTCGAGCGTGACCTTGTACTCCTGCTCCTCGTTGGGGCCCTTGCGTGGCCTCCTAGGACCACCGCCACCGGGCATGCCACCAGGGCCGCCGGCACCCATGTTGAAGCCGAACATCTGCGACAGGATATCGTTCAGGTCCACCTCCTCGCCGCCTGCGCCGGGCCCGCCGCGGGACTTGTCAAAGGCGGCCATGCCGTGGGTGTCGTAGAGGTGGCGTTTGTCATCGTCGCCGAGGATGTCGTAGGCTTGCGTGACCTCCTTGAACTTGATTTCCGACTCGGCGCGTTGCTCCTCGGGGACCTTGTCGGGATGGTACTTCAAGGCCGCCTTGCGGTAGGCCTTCTTGATCTCGTCGCCCGAGGCCGTCTTCTCGATGGAGAGGAGCTCTGCAGCCACTGTTGTCAGCGTCTCGACCGGCTAGACTCGCGAACAAAATGCTCTCTTACCGTAGAGATCGACCTCTTCTGTGAATCCTGCGCCCTCCATGGTGAGCGTCTAGGAAAATCAAGGCGTAAGCAAAATGAGCAAGGTCAAGTTTGCGACAGGCAAGGATGGTAGAAAAGAATTTCGACACAGGCGAGGATCAGTATTAGTGGGGTTGAGTCGGCTACGAACCACAGCACTTTGACAGGTTTCCCTTGGGGTTTTGTCGAATGTTAGTGACAAGATAGGAGATTATTCACATAGCTCTGCCTAATTTATATGATCATGCGCGCTTGTTGACCTATTCCAGTTACGACCATCGCATTCACCGTTTGTCCATCTTCAAACTGCTGATAAGATAAGACAAAGAATCCTCAGGAAAGCTTATCGATAAGCTGTTCAATCGCGTCGCGTTGCAGCAGCTTCATCGACCCTCCAATTTGATTCTTTGGCCTTGATGCCATATCTGGAGAACCCGTCTGTAGATCGTGGGCCTGTTTTGGCTCGAGAAGCTACGAGAGGGCATGGCAACCACATTCCAGGCTTCTAGGCTCGTCAGGAGGCTCCGGTGCCCTCAATGTTGTCGCCTAGTGCCTTACAACCGCCGCTCACTTCACATTTCGCCAAGACTGGCTTGTCCTCCTAGTCCACAAAGACAGACTCTCACAGACGAAGTAAAGTCTGTCTCGAATCATGGAAACAAACATAGTCATGGAAAGCTGATGGCCGAGGCTACGACGCCTTCACTGTCGAGGTTTCAGGAGCTGTCCAGACAGGTAAAACGCCCTCCAAGGATACTAGGCCAGAAGACGGACCTGCCCATACGGGCTCGATTTGCTCCTTCACCAACAGGCCAACTTCATCTGGGCTCTGTGCGAACTGCTCTATTCAACAATCTTGTGGCCCTCGCGTCTTCAGAGGGAGCCTTCATTCTCCGCGTCGAGGACACCGATCAGGTTGGTTTTCTTACCAATTGTTTCCATCCATGAACCAATAGCCTGACAAATTGTAGCGCCGATTGAATAAAGGTGCAGAAAAACAGATGATTCAGGACCTGAGGTGGCTGGGACTTGTTTGGACAGAAGGCCCTGATGTTGGGGGTCCTCACGGCCCATACCGACAGGTAGGTCCAACCCACGGCCGCTTGAGCCAGCTTCGCTGACATTTTTCCAGTCGGAGCGTCTCGGCATTTACAAGAAACATGTCGATGAACTCATCGGCAACGGCCATGCCTACCGCTGCTTCTGTTCGCCCGAGGATTTGGAGAGACAGAAACTCGAAGCCCACGAGACGGGCATGGCGACAGTCTATCCAGGCACATGCCGCTCAGTCACGTCTTCCGAGTCGGACCAGCGCGCCGCAGCCGGAGAGTCTCATGTCGTCCGCTTCAAGGGCGACGCGTTCGGCATTATCGGCTTCAAGGACGCTGTCTACGGGTCGTTCCAGAAGAAGGAAAAGGAGGAGGATTTCGTCATTTTCAAAACCGACGGCTATCCGACATATCACCTCGCCAACGTGGTGGACGATCATCTCATGGGTATCACGCATGTCATCCGGGGCGAGGAATGGCTGATCTCTACGCCTAAACACCTCGCACTCTACAAGGCCTTTTGCTGGAAACCACCGACGTTTGCACACCTGGGTCTGTTGATCAACGACGACGGGAGCAAACTCAGCAAGAGAAACGCCAGTGCGAGCATAACCTCGTACAAGGACAACTTCTTTGCCCCCATGGCTTTCCAGACGTGGCTCGCGTCACTAGGTTCGTCCCGAAAGTCACAAGGCGGCCCTATCCCACGGACCATTGCTGCTTTGGCATCCGACGTAAGTAGTACTATACAACAGGTGTCCGTTTCGTCGACCCAGCTGACCCGCCCATCTAGCTCTCGTACAAATTCACAAAGGGCGGGATCAAGATCAACCAGGAGCGCCTGATTAACTTTGACTCGAGTTATTTCTACAGCATCATTCCCAACCCGACACCCGAGGAAGAGGAAATCCTCCTCCAGAACATGCAGATCCCCATCCTCAAAGCCGTACAGTCACTCGACAACAACTCCTTTCCCTCATTTGCGGACCGCGCTGGTCACGCGTGGGACGGCCCCAAGGAGCGAACACATTTCCTGGCGCAAGACGACGCCAAGATCATCAGCCACCTCCTCCGGACACTCCACTCTCGACTGAAGAACAGGGGAGATGCACAGAAGTTGGTGCTCGACCACCCTCACTACTTCTGGCGACCGCCTGTGGCCCTGCTCACCGAGAGTCTGGCCACCCATCCAGTACCTGAGGCGCTTCTGGACGCCATTGAAAGAGTCTGCCATCAACCAGAGCTTTGGGTGGACCCATTGACGCCAAAGGCAGCGACACCCAGCAGCACCGTCAGCAAGGCTGTTGCCAAGGTCATGGACGGAGACGGTGCCAAATTCACCGCTTACAAGGAGCAGAGAACGCTGGCGACAGGCAACCCAGACAGAGCAAGTCATTCATCCGAGGAGCTGTTCCAGGCTTTGGGGAGGCATGAATGGCTACATCGTATCAACCTGGTGCGGGACATTATGGGCAAGACGTAGCTCTGCGTGACAGTACGGACGGCAACTGTATCATCTTGTGCATATGTATGTAAACATCACTGTAAGAAGAACGCATGGTGAGCGCAAATTATACTTTTCAAGGGACCTTGCAGTCCCTGAGTAACTCCATATCTATATTTGACTGGTGTGCATGACACCATCCGTCCGTCCTCATGCTGATTACCAAAAACTCCAGGTGTGATAAGATATGCGAGTCCATAACGTCGTGAAGAATGCTCGTGATGCGATGTGTGGGGGAGGAAAACAAAAAGGGGGGGGGGGATCGGTCGGTCGCTAATGGGTATATCCGTCTACATCTCAAAGATCCAAATCTGCAGAATGTTAGTAACAATGATCAAAAACAAAGGGGGCGCATGTCACTCACGTCCAGCTTCCCTACTTCCTGCCTCGCCTTCCTGGCGTGGGACCTCGCACTCGACATGGCCATGTCCAGATCATCCTGGTCGCCCATGGTGATCATATCACCATCGGGCATGTCCTCGTCCTTGATCTTGATCTTGAACCGCCGTCCCTCGAGACCAAACTTGTCACGCACACGGTCGAGAAAATCGGGATACTCCACGGCGACGCCGACCATGATGTACCGCACGTCGTCTGCGGCATGCGCTTTGACTCGGATCTTCTTCACGTCCGGACCACGACGAGAGCGCGTGCTGGAGGATGTGGTCGACGACGCACCCGTTGCCGCCCTTCGTACGGGGAGCATTTCAAAATCGTCTTCATTGACCGAGGCGTCGTCGTAATCCGAGGCGGGGTCGTCGTCGTTTGTGTACCGAGACGGTGGCGCAGACGGCTGTCGATTGCTGCCCCGGCGGGACGTGCCCTGGGGAGGAGGCCGATACATGTCGTATACCTCGCCCGGGTAGGGCTCCTCGGCAATATTGGCCTGTGTCTGTTTCCACTGCTGCGCTGCGGGTGCTTGGCTGCGCTGTGACATGTTCCGCGCCGGCGCGCGCGAGGAGGACGACGGGGGTGGCCGGGCGTCGGGCGGGGACGCGGCCTTCTCGTACCCCTTGGACGAGACGGGGGCAATGTTGAGCTTGGCGAGCTGCGGCTTGGCGCCGTTGCGGACGGAGGCGCCTCGGGAGGGTAAGCGGGCTTCAGCCTCGGGAGGTGGTGTTGGCGGGAACATATTACGATTGCCAGGAGGCTCCGACTGTTGTCGGCGCGATTGCAGGCCAGGCCTGACGAGATTCGAGGCGGCGAAGGAGATGTTGTCGGGCGGGCGGTCGTCCCGTGATTCAGAACGCGCGGACTGGTTGTGTTAGTGGTGGATGACACGGGCGCTCTTCTGGGCATGAATCTGTCGCTCACATTCTTGATCTCGGAGCCAGCGAAACCGGTAAAGGCGTTGGCGCGATCTGATGCCGCCACCAGGCGGGCTTTGCCGAGGTAGTCTTTGGTCTTCAGGTTGCGAACCTTGGCCTCGTTTGGTCGGTACACGACGCCGACGGGTATCGAGAAGACTGTGTATCCCTTTGTCTGGCGTTAGTCGATGGAGTATGGGCTGCGTCTGCGGACTTACATCTGCCTCGTCTTGGATCGCCTCATCAATCACGTTGTGATCCTCCACCACCTTTTCTTTCACCGCATACGACAGGTCTTGCATGCCTGGCTCCTTTTGCTGCAGATAGATGTAGCATAGTCCGCGATTGAAGAGCACCTCGCAGGAGTAGAGCTTGAAGAGGAGGCCGAGTTGCGCATAGTCAATCATCGTGTTGCCGCGAAGATAGAGGAGTGTGTCGTTGAAGTTGGCCAATGCCTCCTCAAAGTCGCCGAGCAGGAAATTCGACACGCCCTGTTGGAAGTAGGCCACGGCGAGGTATTGATCTAACCGGACAGCTCTCTGATAGAATTCCACCTGGAGCCCATGTTAAACACTGCGATAACACGGTCAATTGGCACAGAGTCACTTACAGCCTTCTCATGCTCGCCGAGGGTAGCGTGGATCACGCCCATGTTGAAGAGGATCTTGCTTGTGTCGCCAATCTTGTCGAACTCGTTCAGGGCGTCGTCGAATTCATTGTTGTCGTACCGCGCAAGGGCGGCAACCCACGTCTCGATTTCCTATAGTCATGGTGAGCCTTTGATCGAGCATGCGAGTCCTTGCCCGGTGGAGGGACCCCCGAGCCCCAGGCGGGACTGTCACTGACCTGCTTCAAAGACATGGTTGCTCCCGCGTGCGCAGTGCAACAAGGACCAGCGACGCGACGGACAGCGCTCGAATGGACGCTTTATTGAACAGCAAGGACAGCAGAGCTTTTCGATTCTCGCAGTGCAGAGTATATGCAGGAGTAGGTACGATTCCCGGGGACCTGGGCGCTTGTGGTCCTTAAGGAAATGTTCTGGATGGGCGGGAGGACGACCGGGATGGGTGAGTGTCCCCCGCTTCAGCGTGGTCAATTGGCTCGAGTGGCGGGTAGCGCTCGATGGATCTTGGGGGGTCTTGGCGCTACCTGGAACTGGATCGGCCGGCGGCTCCAGAAGCTTGGTCAGTGGACCGACAGAATGGTTGGTCACTCGAGTCCAGGCTCTGTCCAGCAAGTTGTCCGTCACTCGCAAGCTGCGCTCGAGAATGATGAATCGCTCGAGAGCTCGACGCCAGATGCTTCGCCTCGGTCCTGGCCGCTCTGGCTGTGATTGTGCTCTCCTGGTCTGGTGTCGGTGATCGAGTCGGTTGCTGGATGGCCCTGGCTATTTTTGGTGGCGCAGAGCAACAGAGTGGTGAAGACGGCAGTCTCACCGCGAGTGGTGAGCAGGGGACGGGGACGGGACGGAATCACACACAGACTATTGAAGCCAAGTGAGCGTTATTAGCTTGCCGTGTGCGCGCAGCTGCTGTATCGGTAAGTGAATAACCAGTAAGCGAGTGGATGACAGCCAGTGTCGGTGATTAGTAGAAAGGAGGGACGCTGAGAGAGAAACCAGCTCTGCTCGAACAGCAGGAAAGCAGTCCCAGGAGGAGGGAGGCTAGAAACGGGCGAGTTGGTATATCAATCAACTGTCACAGACACGGCATCGATCTGATGCGAATCCATGGCAAAACGGGAGCTTGGATCTCACCAGGGCTCACGGCACCGAATGGCAGCTCTCTGACTTTCCCAAACGCTTGTCCGGTAGCTGTGTTGCAGGGGGTTTCAACATCCCCGGAATGGACTAGGAGCTCCTAAAAGGAGGTGTGGTCGAACTTGATTACTGATTGATAGCTGCCAGTATTAGGTAGTCGGGCTCACAATCGATTACTAGTTTCGGGTGGCCAGAGGTCGAACGCTACGGCAAACGCAACAGTGCAGCCGGGAGATGCTCAAAATACCACATCATGGCCGGCTATTCATGTTGTGCCCTGACTCTGTCGTCATCGCGGTGCAACGAGTCAATCAATTGAGACCATGTTTGCAGCGTGCCTCGAGGCCAAGAATGAGTGATTGAGTGGCTCCTGTGCATGATCAGTTGAGACGCTGGCTGTTGCATATGCAGGTCAGGCGTGGAGACGCCTCGACTGCCCAGTGACCACCAAGTCCCGACCACCACGCCTAGGGTTCTGGACAGGGGTTAGGAGGGTGGCGGACGCAAGTATTATCACCTCGAGCAAGATTAAGCGTATGAGGCTACCGCTTGCTGCAAAGAGGTGTCACTTGGGGAAAAGAACTCGCGTGGCCGACGACGTGCATCTTTCGTGCAGCTGGGAGCACCCATGACGTCTCGCCGTTAAGCGCCGAGTCCCTACGCTTGTGCGTGGCTAGCGTGGGCTGTCTAAGTGACCGCTGTCAGATGTGGTGGGTTGTACAGTGCTTCACAGAGGCCTCGTGCGCGTTGTCGAGCGACTGAGTCGTTGGCATGGAGCAATTGGGAGACGTGGTGAAGAAGCACGATTCGGCATCACAGTGGAGAGACCTGACGCGGTTCTAGTCAGAGGTCACATGGCGACTGGATTGTCTTGGCGGGGCGCATTGGGTAGGCGCGTACGTACTACTACTTCGGGTATTCCATGAAATACTCGATATCTGTAGCGAAGACATTATCAAACATTCAGTCTCTTGAGCTTTTTATTAGGTCGATTAAGCCTGTTCAAGGAGATCAAAGACGATCGGCACTGCATGCAGTGTACATGTACATCAGTGCCGAATCCTTCGCTTCATGAGGACCATCCATCAACTCATGTCTCCTGTATCCGGGTCTGCACCTGCAGCAGACCGATAAAAGCTTAATGCCAGGTAGTTCCACTCCTACGTACGCCCTGCCTCAAACTTTTGAAATGTTTGAGACGAAGAGGCGGCTGGGTGAACGTCTCAGCTTGCCGGGACGAGGGTCCTTCATCCGGACTACCGACAGGGCGTTTGATCGACGGCCGCGCCAACGCTTCATGAGGGCACTCTGTAACCTCCCCAGGCAGGCATTATTAGACGGAACATGCCATCCATCATGCAGAAATGCAAGAGCCGCATCATCATTCTCATCAATCATTTCGATCATTACCTAGGTGTGTTTTGACAACCCTCACCTCAGAGCATGCCCTTGGCCACCTCCTCCTTACGCTCATCCCACAGCGTCTTGCCCGTGCAGGAGCAGACCGTCTTGTCGTTATCCCAGACGCCCGCACTCCGAGCGATGACGCCGACGACAGTGTCCTCGTCATTCTGCAAGCCCTTGTCTGACTCCTCCTGGCGAGTGAGGACCATGGCATGCCCGATAGCTTCCCAGATCTGGAAGCCGTGGTCGACAAAGGCTGAGCCGCGTCCCGACTTGTCCACCTCGACGACGCCGAGCTCCCCCTTGTCCTTCCATACTGGCCCAGTGGACGCAGCGCCTTCGGCCAGGTTGCCGTACTCTCGGATCGTGGCACGGTAGTGTCCTGGCGATACGCCCCGGACGGTCAGATCGACCAGTGTCCGTCCGGAGCCCACCTCGACCATGCGCGCCAGACCTCGAACCTCGCGGTCTGTGCCCTCGTGCTGCGTCTGGTGCTTGTCCACAAATGTCTCCAAGATGCTCACTGCTGCGCCTGTTCTTGTCAGTATCCTGTCACCGGAGGCTTCACGTGAGTCGTACTATTCGATGCGCCGGTGCCACGCAAGATGGCATCTCGGCCGGTCTCCTGGATAGCTTCCACTATCGCGGACGGGGCAGCCGATCCCTCAATGGTGACCAGTTGCTCTTTGACATTGCCTTCCACCCTGGTGATACCGCCAAGCTTGTGGAGTGCGTCCGAAACTGATTTGACACAACCCTCACACGACAACGGCACCGCAAATTGGGTCTGCACTCTGAGTTAGAGAATGATCAGTGGTCCGGTGAAGGAAGCGCACTTGAAATGTATGGTTGACAGTCATCCTGCCGGTTGATGTCGTCTTTGACTCGTTCACGTTGAATGTCCTCGGGTCTGCAGTGCTTGCTGAGGGGGCCAATGGTCGATTGAAATAGCGATATGCAGCAGATCCAGCAACCAGTCCTGAGGTCAATGATAAGACGTTTAATCTCAGAGCCATCAAATACAAAGGAAATCAAGACAAGTTCATTATATGTACGTACGCATGTTGCTTTGAAATCGCTGGAGCGCCCTCGGAGTTCCGTAACGTCATGTGACATTTTGAGTGCGCCGCCAAGATGGATGACTCAGCCTCCAAACTTTCCTGAGCCAGCCGCGCATCTCGAAATTCATCGCGCTCGGCCTCACCATCAGAGCGGACGGTCAGCCCACTCCACATTGCCCATTGACAGCACGTCGCGCCCGCAGAGATTCTGTCCCTGATCACCTGAGAGTGGTCGACAGGTAGCCGCCATGTCACAGAACCTGGGCTTGGTGCGTCCAACCCCTAACCATCTGACGAGCGCCCCAAAAGCTAACGGCCATCCCTCTAGACCCGCCTCGCCTACTCGCGAGTATGGCATCACATCTCGGCAATCGCTCCCCACCCGACGCTGTCGACCAAGGTCGCCCCCGCTGAGATCACGCCCCCGTCCATGGGCCGCCTCGCCTCCCGCATCGCCATGATCCTCATGGGCAAGCACAAGCCGATCTGGGACCCCTCGACCGACTGCGGCGATTACGTCGTCGTCACCAACTGCGCCCGCCTCCACATTACGGGCCGCAAGTACTGGCAGAAGAAGTACTACAGGCACAGCACGAAGCCCGGCCAGCTCAAGTCGTTGACAATGGACGAGCTCATGGGGAAGCAGGGCGGCAGCGAGGTCTTGAGGCGGGCGGTGAGCGGCATGCTGCCCAAGAACAGGTTGCGGGACAAGCGGCTCGCACGACTCAAGGTCTTTGAGGGCGACGCGCACCCGTACAAGCCCAATCTGGTCCGGTTCGGAGGCAAGGTCGTTGGGACACAGGGATGGGACGCCATGGTTGAGTCGATACGCGAGACGGACAAGAAGAGGTTATAATAAGGCCTCGGAGACTGACGTGGGTGGTTGGATATGTATCATTTGTATTATACGTGCGAAGAGGGCGGCATCGTACCGCGGACATGGCATGGCTTGATTCTGGGTTTCAACGGTAGCAGTGGTCATGATAATTCTATTGCTGTATAAAAAAAGACACCGTACTCCGGAGTATTCCAACGAGGTTTCCAAAAAGAGACAACCAAAGCTCCCCGTCAACTCTCATAGCTTGGGCTTGGCGTCCTTCTCACTAGGTCAAGTTAGCTTGTTGTTGAGGAATAGCCAGGACGCGACACTTACCCCCGCGAGACCTCACACTTGATCAGACCGTTGGGTCCCGATTGCGGCACATACACCTCGGCGTCCTTGCCTGTGTTCTTGATCCCCTTGTGCCAGCTCAAGTCTGTCCGTACGAGTTAGCGTTGACATCAATACACACAAGGGGGCAAAGGGTGACTGACCTAGTTCAAAGTAGTGCTTGTTGGGCAGCGAGTACTCGACGTGGTTGACGCCGGGTACGGCCCCCAGGATGTTCTCGCACATCTTGTACATGGTAGCCTGGACGCTCGCACTGTTGTCCTCGGCAAACTGCTTGAGGGTAATGTTGCGCGCCGCCGCCCAGGCCTCGTCAAACTGGGGCGCGGCCTTTTCGACAGCCTTGACGTCGGCGAACCTGGCCCACTTCCACGTCGAGTCCACGTCCGTCGACAGGATGCGGTCCCACGTCTCGGGCAGCGTGGTGTACTCGTCGCGGAGGAAGCCGTGGAAGGCAGAGCCGGTGGACTTGAGGACCGTCAGGCCCTGGATGCTGCTGTCGATGGCGATGCCCTCGCCGCGGCGCGCGGTCGCCTCGACTGTTCTCTTCTCCTCGCCGTCCCGCAGGAAGCTGTGCGGGTGCGGCTTGCCGTCAATGTCCATCCTCGTCCAGCGGTGGGTCACCACCTTGACGTGCGCCGCGTGGATGTGCCCATACTTTTCGATAAAGTGGCTGCTCAAGGTGGCGGCGTACACCTCGGGGGGATGGACGGGGGACTGCTTGGCGGTGATGTAGATTGTGTTCTTGATGGTGTCTGTGGCGACGACGACGGAGTTGTCGGCGTGCGTGTAAGAGCTTGCAATGTCGCCCTCGAGAAGGCAGCAGACGGTCATCTCGTAGACGGTCTGGACGCCGGTCGCCTGGTCGCGATGGACCTTGTAGACGCGGACATTGTCCTTGCCGTAGCGCGCTGCTGATACGAAAGGCATGGTGGTGATGCTGTTGAGCGGAGGGAGAGGAGATAAGGATGGTGAGGTACGAGTATGATAAGAGCACAGGTCAGCAACACGTGAAGATGGCGGATAATGCGCGCGAACAGCGATTTGAGATGGAGCGGAGGGATACTATGGGATTTGATGTGGAATGGGATTGCGAGAGGTTTTAAATATGTGTCTGTCCCCATGGATCAAACCACGGGCTCTTGTCTGGCGCGGACCGGCGTAGTGAGTGAGGGAGTGAGGCTCTCGCTACCCGGAGAACGCCGAACACCCTGAGCGCTCAACACCGAAACCTGAACAACGCATCCACGGAGCGGGATGAGGCCATTTGGGCGCTGAGACGGATGCGCCTGGTACGGGAGAGAGATAAGAAAACGCGATAATTTTGGTCCATCCCTCCTCATGATACCTCTCCAGAGGACATGTTCTAATTGTCGCGCCAGTTGGCGCGAGGTCTTGACAGCGACAGGGGTGTTCAGTCGCCTGCGCTGGTAATAAGGTATTGTTGGGGTCCTGCCGGCACCTGCACACGGGTGTTCCCTTCCTTTCCCTCCCCCCATCATCACGTACAGTTGTGTACATCTTCATGTACTGAGGGTGGTACGCAACCTAACGTACCCGTACCTCATCTATCTCTGCTCCATCTTGATTTAAAAGGATCTAGAGGGTTTGACTCGAAGCACCTTGGTTCACCAATTCCCAGAGATCCTGACCCGCCTGCCACGCCTCGTCTTGCCACACATCAGTCTCTCCGTCAGCTCTCCACCTCCTCATCTGCGTAATCGTGCTCGGGCCCCAGACGACCTCTTCACCTTTCACAAACGCCATGAAACCCTCGTTCCAGCCTTTCAGCATCCTTTTCTCTTCCTCCAGCAGGCCTGAGAAGTCAGCAGCGCCCCAGAACCAGATGGGAACGTCGCTCGAATGCGTCACGCCCATGGACACAGGGAATGCTTCTTTGATGCAGTCCAGCCGCCGTTCGAAACGGTATCGAAGCAGGTCTGTCCCGGGAACGAGACCACCTTTGCATAATGCCTTGTGAAGACCTCGCTCAAGTCCGTGGACCTGCATATTGGCGTACATGTGCCCGAAAAGGACCTGCCAGTTCTCAAAGCCAGAGGGTAGGTCTTTGCTCGAGCCGCAGTAGTGTGTCATAAGCTTGGATGCGACTGATTCTGGATACTCGGTGCAAAGCCGCCTGTAAACAGCTTCATACGAGTTGTCTGGCGTCCGCCAGTTGCGATAGACAGTGTGCTCGTCCTTGCACTCTCCATTGAGTAGTTTGACCCCTCGCTTCTTCATCGCTCGCCCGAAATCCCCATTGTTGATCTTGTTCATCAAGTCTTGATGGTAAAACACGCCATCAGAGACGGGCCGGAACTCGTGAATCCTCATGCCGGCCTGGACTTCCATCAAATTCTCATATGGAAGGCTGCGAAGCTTTGACAGCTTCTCCTCAGCCGTCAGATCAAGGGGAATCCCTAGTTTCTGAAGGAATTCATCGAATTGGACCTGCTGCTCCTCCAGACTCCTCGGTGTGACGCCTGGGCCATTGGACCACATTGCGAGTCTTTTGATGATGCCCTTCTCAGCTGGAAGACAGAATAGCTCGTGACCCAGCTGCTGGAAAGCGGAGTAGCCGCCGGCTGAGTAGCCAGAGATGGTGATATTTGTTGGATCTCCTCCAAAACCCGCGAGGTTTTCGTGTGTCCATTCGAGAGCAGCTCTTTGATCCCAGAGCCCGAGGTTGCCGAAAGGCTCGCCATTGGCTTTTGCCTCTGCAGCTAGCTCAGAGCTCGCCAGGAAGCCGAACGCATTCAGTCTGTAGGATGGCAAGACCAGAATGCCCCTGAAGGCCGAATCCTCGAGCAGTGGCACCAGAGACAAAGGCCGCCAATTGGCACTACCCCATTGCAAAAACCCTCCATGGAGGTAGAACAGCACAGGCCATCCGTTCTCTGGTGGAGGTCCTGATGGGATCCAAATATTCAGTTGAAGGCAATCCTCATCGAAGTGAGCCCTCTCTGGCGGGGCACGACATGGAGGCTGTGGACAAATACCCGTGCCCCCTGTGAAACGTCCCGGATTGGCAGCTGTGCCGTACTTGTACCCCTTTGGAAGTTTGCGAGGGACTCGGAAACGGAATTCACCAGTCGGAGGCAAAGCGTATGGCAGACCTCCAAAGTAGTAAGCTGCAGGGCTAGCCCCTGATGCAAAAGTTATACCTTCAATGCGCCCAAGGACACCGGCATCGAGACGGTAGGGTTCCTCTCGGTACGACATGATTTTGTTCCGTTCGATGTGTTATGGCGATGAAGATGTGAAAGCTTGTGCTCGGCCCTAAGTTGGATTGACAGCCGGATGCCAATTGATGCGAGCCCCAGACTCGGGCCCAGAACACCAAGCCGCTAAGCTATCATGTACGTATCCCGCAATATCTGCTCGTCTTTGTCGGCGCTTCTTCTAAGTCCCGGCCGGCACCCAGTCACAATAGCGTTGTGTGCAGAATGCACGGTAGAAAGTGCGCAAATGACTCAAGATGGGGCCAAGGGGCACTTCTTAGTACCAACAGCAGCCGCAGCAGTACCAGCCGAAGCAGTCAATTGATGGGGTTCAAAAGTGTGCGAGGAATGGGCCCTGAGTCTAAGTCACTAGCTCCATTAATAATGGACGATAGATTGGCGAACATAAACCCCTGGCCCAACCGCTGATGTTTCGCGTGGCCCGGGACGCTGTCGGAAAGACATCCCGGTCCATCCCCGGTCCTCAATTGGGGAGGAGTTGGAGACCGTCTAACGGTCTGACGCTATCTTCGTGAATCTGGGTCCTCCATGGCGAGGATGGAGCTGGCGGCACCTAAATGATGTCCCATTGCTGCCAGTATTGGTTGACTCATGTTGGTACTTGAGTTTCTGATGCACGAAAATTGGGGTTCTCTACTTGCATCCAGAGATCTTACTATTTACCAGAGCTTTCGGGTGGGGATGTGCTCCTGGAGCGCTGCGGCATGACTGAGGTCGGCATGGCAATCTCATGTGGTCTCGATGACTCTGACCGCATCGAGAGCTCCGTCGGTTGGCCCCTATCTAATGTTGAGGCGCGTCTCGTTGAGAGGAATGAGAACATCGGTGACGAGGTTGCTGTTCAGCCTGGAGAAGAGACCGACCCCAAGACAGGGCAAGAGACTGGAGGCAGGGCGAGATTCAGCTTCGAGGACCGACCATCTTCCGGGAGTACTGGCGTTACCCCACGGCAACCGAAAAAGAGTTCAGCAAGAACGGATTGCTGAATAAGGTGACATTATAGTCCGTCGCGCCGTGCCTGAAGCCGGTTAGGGCGAATCCGGCTCTTGGGCTCGTGGTCCAGCCTACTTCATTCAGGGTCGCCGCAGCGCCGATATCATCAAGACCGGAGGTGAGTAGATCTCTGCTCTCGAAATTAAGCGTGAGCCTTTCACTCCCTCAGGTTGAGGAATGTGCAATAATCGGTCTTTGTTCTTAGATTTGGGGTCAGAAGACGGCTGCAGTGGTTGTGCTGTCGGAGCAGGCGAAGAAGAGCGAAGAGCCACGGGGTCTGAAGGCGATGAGGCGCGATATGAAGACGAGAGTCGTCACGTACAGGGTGCCACAAGACTTGGAGATTGTGGATACAGTCAAGCGAAACGCAATGGGCAAGGTGAATAAAAAGAATATAGCCGCGGTGTACGGTGATGCGGAAAAGATCAGGAGGAGGAGCATCAGTGGACGCAAGTAAGATGAGCTTGGAGCTGTCAGGGCGAGCGAAGATTTTCGTACCTCAAGTGCCTTGCTTAAAGTATATATGGAGTCGGACCATTGTAAAAATAAAGAAACCTTGAATCACGATGATACTTCTTGGTCACCCTGGCTATTGACGTGTGGTGGTCTTGGACTCTAGCTGATCTCCAAAAGCAGCTAATACTTCCGATGTAAACATCTGGGGTCCAAGGCCATCAATATTACCACAAGAGACATTCACACGACACAAGCGCACTCAAAAGCTTGAAGGTATATCAAATATACGAACTTCCGTTTGTCCTCTATAGCAAAGACTGTATCTGCTGGGCCACACCTAACACCTTTTCCTCATCTAACCTGCGACCGACAATCTGTATACCAACTGCAAAGCCATCCATCTTCTCAGCATCATATTGGTCCCAGTTCCACTTATCCAGCTCGTCTCTCGGTTCATAGTCAGGTGCCTTGATATCCAGCGCCTTGCTCGCAGTACCTGCAGGGAAGGATAGCGCAGTGTAGTCCAGAAAGTTGAATAGCTTCGTATAGCCTGTCCAGCGGCACGTCCTGTGCGGCATCGCGGTGTGCGGCATGGTTGGTACCAGAAGGACATCAACAGGACGGTTGGAGGCTGATTGTGCATTGTTCCACATCTCGTGGTACGCCTGTTGAGCGGCAATCTTGCGCTTGTTAAGCTGCCAGTAATCATACACGGAGACAGGCTTCGCGCGGTTGACAAGTGCTTCAACATGTGGTAGGAAGGGTTCGCCGCTTGAGACGACGTCGGAGCGAATATCCTCACCACCGTCCACGAGATAGTGTTCATCCTTTATTCTTATGTCAGTTCAAATTCTTGCTGAAACCATTAGCGGCGCCCAAGAACCTACCATTAGCTCAATGCACCTGGCATTCATGCTTGGATCCCAAGGCACAAGCTCGTGTCCAGCGGCCTTGAGCTTCTCACAAAGGTCCTTGAACACTCGATCCACAGGTGGATGAGGCTTGACCCTGCCGTCGTCTCCCATGATCCCAACGACGAGAGTTCTTTCAGAAAAGGCCTCGTACACATCCTGCTTCCAGTAGATTGGAGGCACTCTGGGATCAAGCTTCCAGCTTTCGGCATCGATGACGGCCTTGGTAGCCAAGGTTAGGGAGGGAAGTGTACGCGCTATGGGTCCTACGGACGAGGGTATTTGGCATTGGCCATCTTGAGATACTGCGACGCCTCTATAAGAGAATCTGTCACTCTTCTCGAGACGTCAGCGGCGGCAGTCAAATACAGATAAAAATAGAGCTCACGCTGGGCTTCAGACCCCAGAGGCCATTCATATGGCTTGGGATTCTAATGGAGCCACCGATGTCAGTTCCCCAGCCGATGAACGACCCCTTGAAGTGTAAGAGAGTTGCCTCTCCTCCAGAGGAGCCGCCAGGTGTGAAATCCGGGTCACTGGGGTGTGTGGTCAGTCCCCAGAGATTGTTGTCCGTCTCGCACCACTGTATCTTCATTAATACCGTGTTCTTTCTTCTGATGCATGTGGATTTTGAAACCACAGATAAGCCTGGAAACTCACCAAGATACTCTGCGGTAGGTTTGTTTTGCAGATGATGATGGCGCCAAGCCTTTGGAGGACTTCAGCAAGGACGCAATCAGATTTGGCGGGCTCGAAAGAACGACCAACGTAACCGAGCGTTGAGTCCAGTCCCTGGAGGTCGAATTGATCTTTTAGAGAGATTGGTACGCCATGGAGGGGACCTTTTAGACGACCGTGCTCTTTCTGGAACTTATCAAGCTCTCTCGCTTGTTCCAGGGCATCATCAAAACAGATCTCGGTCAAGCAATTTGTTTGCTCCTGCGCAATCTTGGCTCTGCCGAAAGACAAGGTTAGTGACAGTTCTCAGTCTCCATTCACCCTCCTTGGATGGGCTCCTACTTGTTGATGTGAGCGAGAATCACATTCTCTGCCGAGACCTGGTGATTTCCCAACAGCTTGACCAGGCCCTGTACGTCTCGAGCGGAGAAGATCAGATCTTCGAGAGCATCATCATCGGCCAGGGCTTTGTATGCTTTTGCAAGCTTCTGGTCGCGAATCGCTCGCTTCTCAGCGGCAAGCTTCCTCCAGGACTGTGGCATTTGAGTCGTCTTGTGGACTGTTGACGCCTTCAAGAACTCGGATGAGAAGCCGAGTCCTACTGTGACTCGAATTGGCGAAGTGTGCTGCGCAGACAGTGAGGCTTGTGTTGAGAAGGTATGAGGAACCCCTTCCGCTGATCGTGACCTAAACCCCGAAGTTTACAGAGCAAGTCCATAATCTAGGACCCTTCCCCTTGCCAGCGGGCCTTTCACACCAATTCAGAGCACTAGTACGTAGCTACCTCGTTAGTTAGTGGGTATCCTGGTGAGACCTGATTGCGGTGGGGTCCAGTCGGCCGTCGGCGCCCGACCGGAGCTGGGCCCGGCGTGTACCGGGCTTACCGGAGGGGACTGAACTTGCTAGCATTACTCAATCGGCTGCGTAGTTCTCCATGTCAGGACCCCTGGCCGAAGCATTGTGACATCAATGTTCCAGGATGCTCAGATGAGTGGAACTCAGCTAGACAAGACAACGACGACTCTTTCGTGCTCATCGTGCAATCTTCAACTGCTTTTCAGATTCTCCCAATACCCTACAAGCTAATCCTGCCTCACACACGGAACTCTTGAAGCTCATTAGACAAGTGCTCCAGCAATAGAACAGAGACAATGGCAGAAATCTCCGATCCCGTCCTCGCAAAACCCGCCGACCTTTGCTGCCTCAAGGGCGATTTCCACAAAGGCGAGCCGACCGGCACCACTATCCAGATTAAGGGCGTTGATACCTACGTTGCGACTCCCGATCCTAAGATCGCCAACGGACGTGTTATTCTCTATTTCCCCGATGCATTTGGCCTGCACATCAACGCCATGCTTATGATGGATGCCTATGCTGCTTGCGGATACCTGACACTGGGTGTTGATTATTTCCTTGGCGTAAGTTCTAAGCGCAACTTAAGACTCGGTCGTCCACGAGAGTCATGATATGCTGACAGGCTTGCTCGCCCAGGATGCTGTCACCAAGTACTCAGCCACTCCTCTTAGTGACCCTAACTTCGACCTCGGTGCCTGGAGCGCAAAGCATCTCACTGCGTCGGAGGACGTTGCTAAGAAATGGGTACAGAACGTTAAGGCCAAGTATGGCTCTAGCGACAATGTGAAGTTTGCCTGTGTCGGCTACTGGTATGCTTCTTCTTGAGCATGGAACTCTCGTGTCTCGGATCAGTATCCGTATGCTAATCGACTTTGCGTCGTAGCTGGGGTGCTCGTTTTGTCTGCGAGCAGCTTTCCGAGGATGGAATCTGCTCTGTTGGCGCGATTGCTCACCCTTCGTTCGTGAAAGAGAGCCATGTTTACAAGTCAAAGGGTCTGTACCTGATAACCACCCCCTCCAGGATGTGCCAACGAGTGGCTAACAAAGTCACAGCGCCCATCGCATGGGCCGTTCCCAGCACTGATAATCTCTTCTCTCCCGAGTCCCGATCCCGGGTTATCGAGATCTGTACGGAGAAGGCACAGCGTTTCAACATGCAGGTGTTTTCCGACGTCGGTCACGGCTTTGCGGTAAGTGATTTGCCCCTCGAAGATTGCCCCTCGAAGAGTTCTCTAGCGATGGCCAACGCAACGGGTACTGATCTAGCGCGTCAATAATAGTCCCGAGCACGTCTTACCGACCCTTACGAGAAATGGGCCAAGGAACAGCACTTTAGGAACTTTATGGAATGGATCGACTTCTGGATTTCCCAATGACTACTTGAGAGACGAGGGAACGGAGTTGAGGGGGGTGAAAACAGGCAACAGCTGCAAAGGTTGTGATCTTCAAAAGGAAGGCACAGCCTCTGGGGAGATAAGTACCTGAGCTTATGTAGTAGACAAACATTTTGGAGAGTTGTCTCAACATACGCCAGTGTACTTGGGTGCGCCGTTGCGGTGTTCAACCTACTGAAATGTGTATTCCAAGGTAGTCGAGATGATGAGGAACGTGATCGCTCTTTTTCGTGTACGTATCTTAGATGAGATAATTTAGATTAGAGTCTTTCTTGATTCCTTGGCCTCAAGGAGCTTCAGCAGAGCTTCATCTCTCTCGCGTACGATCTCAGCCCAGTCGGTTCCTCCGAACGAGTTGTTCACTTCATCCCTCAGCTTCGCCAGATCCGTCTCATCCCATGCGAAACGGTTACGCAAGATATCTTGCTCCCAATCCCGAATCGATGGACCCAACCGCTCGAGCCTCTGCCCAAAGCCATCGGCACCACCTCCTCCACCAAGGGTATTGGTGGCGATGGGGCCCATGAGAGCCCATCTAAGACCTGGGCCGCTAGAAACAGCAGCGTCAAGGTCGCTCGCGGAGACAATACCTCGAGTGATCAGACTATACGCCTCATTATTAATGGCGGCCTGTAGACGATTGGCAACGAAGCCAGGGACCTCTTTGTGCAGTCGGATGGGACGCTTGCCGAGTGAACGGTAGAATTCGAGGGCAGCCACTATAGAGGCCTCGGAGCATCCTGGATGCGGTACAACCTCAACGAGGGGGATGATATGCGGTGGATTGAAAGGATGGCCGACCATCACGCGACCGGGGTTCTTCTGACATGTTGTGACGAACGAGGAAGGAGGCAATCCGGAGGAGGAGGATGCGATGATAACATCTGGCCTTGTGTGCTCATCAATAGAAGCGATAATGGATTGCTTCAGTTCAAGTCGCTCAGGACCGTTCTGCGCCAGTGGTTAGAACCTTGTCAATGTACATGTGAAGCTTGTCGGAATGGATACCTCTTGCACAAAGTCGACTTCGGGCAACTTGGTGGTGATATCGTCGACAAATTCGAATCTCTCCCAAAAGCTCCCCAGTTCGGACACACGACCCTCCTTTGTCTTCTCATCTATGATGTACTTCCTAAAGATTTCTTCAGCGCCTTTGGCAGGGTCAGACATGACAACTCTGAGGCCCTTGTTCAGGAAGAGAAGAGTCCAGCTGGCGCCGATGACGCCGCTGCCAACAACGGCAACATAGCGAACATTGGAAGTCATGTTTCGTTAAAGGAAAAAAAAAGAAGAAAAGTTACTAATACTCTATTAGTTTATGATCGTATTTATATCCCCCGTATATAAGTGCTACCGTAAACGGAGGATACGGAGCTAGTAATAACTAGGAATAGCTTACTTTATTCCGTCGGAGATATAATCCAAAAGCACGTAATTACGGGTACCTAGCCGCCAGCCGGAAACAACGGGGAAAGCCGGGAACCCCGCTCCGCGATCGCTAACTGACTCCGAATATTCTGTGCGGCGGTAATTACACAGATCGGGTAGCTCCTTTGGCGTTAAACACGCTCACCTAAAGCGGCCTCGGTAAATACAGCATGGGTTTCTAGGGCGCGAGAGGTTCAGACTTACTGCGATTCTTAGAGCCTAGACTACCTATCCAAGAGTTATGGTAGTAGCTCAGCTTGACAAGATAAGACTACCACAAAGGTCCCTTATACATTCAATCACCTTGTGTTTCTTTCCTTTAGTTACTATTCTGAACGACCAAAGTACACAGAATTAAACACTATTCAGCACACAAAAGAAGAGGAACCGGAATCATGGCAGGCCAAACGTATGGTCCCGGAACGACCGTGGACGTGAACTTTGAACCCGTCCCTCAAGAATGCAAACGCCTATTGCGTTTACTCGCGTCGCGCACTCCAGGTTTCACGACTGACGAGGCCTTGCTGAACAAGGTTGCCTTTGAAGGCGATGATTTGCCTTGCATCCCAGGTCCGATCAAGTCTCAGGCTTTCACCGCGACTTTACAGGCCATGTTCGGCCTTGTCAACCTTGAGATCGCCACCCTGAGAGGATATGATACCAAGGACACTACTATCACCATCGACACCAACCATGCTGGTCTCTACCCAGCAACGCCGGCCCTTGTCACCATCGATGGTCTCACAGGACCCGGCGTCATCAAAATGGATACCGTCCCTCAATGGGACAAGGACCGCCAGTCTGGCTCGCCCCTCGTCTTCCGCGCAACTGCAATCTACGAGACGGCTGATCCGGGAGTTTGGTTCCAGTTTCACGGATCGCTTGACCCATGGAAGGCTCTCGCACATATCGGCATCAGCAGAGACCTTGATGCCACCATCCGCACTAACGATGCTGCGTACAAACTTATCCAGGAGCACGTCAAGAAATATCGGGCCCGCGAGCTTGAGATGATGATGTTCGAGCAGGGACTGTCAGGTTCCATCGTCCACTCGCCTGAAGGTTGGCGCAGGACGGAGATGGGAAAGCTGCTGGGCCGCCACCCGCTGGTCAATTATAGGAGCCAGGCTCAGTGCCCTGCCCTCCCTCCAGCAGTCTTGCCTTCCTTGGCCGACAAGAGACCTCTCGCAGGCGTAAAGGTTGTTGAGCTGGTTCGGATCATCGCTGGTAGCGCCGCTGGTGCGGCACTCGCGTCCATGGGCGCTGACGTTATTCGTGTCAACTCCTCCAAGATCAAAGACTACACGCCTGCGCAGCCATCCTCCTTGATGGCCGGCAAATCGACAATCGATCTTGACTTGACCGACAAAGAAGACCACGCTAAGCTGATTAAGCTATTCGAGGAAGCCGACGTCATTCTTCAAGGATATCGCCTCAAGTCATTCGAGCGGAAGGGCTTCGGCCTCAGTGCCGCCCTGGCTATGGCCAACAAACGTGGCAAGGGTATCGTCTATGTTGACGAGAACTGCTACGGACCCGATGGCCCCTATGCCGAAAGGCCTGGATGGCAGCAGGTTGCTGATGCTGCAGCCGGCAGCTCCTGGATCATCGCCCAGATGTTCAACAAGCCCGATGGCCAGGGAATCCTTCCAAGTCTCCCCATCTCAGACATGTCAACCGGTATCTTGACCGCGCTTACAATTGTGTGTGCAATCCGGGACCGTACCAAATTTGGAGGCTCCTACCATGGCCACGCCGCGCTTGTGGGATACAACATGGCAACCCTTGACCCCGAAGTCCGACTCTACCAGCGGGAGGTCGTCCAATCCATCCAGGATCAATATGGCTTTGCGCCTTGGTCAAGTGACGAGCATGTTGCGCCTCTGTACTACGAAATCATGCGAGCTTGGAGAGAGAACAGCAAGCTTTTCGAGGACGAAAAGTACTATGTCCACTTCAACGACACTGTCTTCGGCTCGGATGTCCGCACTCTTGGACCTATCGTCAAGTACAGTGATGATCAGCTGACACCGAGGTGGACCTCCCCGCCGGTCCCGTTCTGTTACCATCAATACAGGACGTTCAGCGAGGAGAAGAAGGTTTCAGAGAAGCCGTGGCAACAGGGAACCCTAGCATAGAGGAGATTTTGAATTAAGCAATTCTACATATTCTCCAAGTACGAGTACCGCAAATTGCGACATATCTGTCATCATATCTACCTACATGCAAATACCTAATCTCATATATCTGTGGTGCGTAGAGGTCCGAACGAAGCACATCTCCGGTACCACATTATCGCGGACTATCGTAGCTCGCGTGTGGGTTACCTTGGCCCTGCTCTTGCGGAACCCTCAACACAAAGCCCCCAGTCACGTTCCTATGCTGCAGTGAAAGCCTGAAATCAGCCCTGAAGACTGCGCTATGAAGAGGATCAGCGGGTTCCCTAAAGTCTGGATGCTGGAGAAAATTAAGATCTTGTTTCCACACCAACACCAAAAACCGGATAGAAGAAAACGTATCAGGTATTTTACATTACAAAGCGCTCTTGTTTAGGTCCGTCCTCATGGAGTTGACTGCCCTGTCAACGTCCGCTTGAAGATCATGGAACCAGAGCCAGTTGAAGCGGTCACCCTGCAGGCTCTTGAGAATCTCCCTCATGTCCTCTCCGGCTTCTTCGTCTTGGAAGTAGAGCATGCGTGCCGTCCTAGCAGCCCCTTCTAATTGCTTCTGTGCGCGCGGTCTCCGGACAGCGTCGAAAGACTTCAGACCAGCACGGATCTCTGGAAGCTGCTCAGCGCCACGGCTGGAGCTCTCAGCCATCACCGCGAGCACGTTTGACAGAATGAGCGCGTCCTCGATGCCTTGAGCAGCACCAGCAGCGTGGAAGGGGAGAGAAGCGTGAGCCGAATCACCCAGAAGGGCGACGCGGCCTTTGTAGTAAGTGGCTGTTCGCCAGTGGTGGAAGAAGCCCCAGCGGACAGGCTTGGCCTTTGTGAGGAGCTGGCGGAAGCGGTCATCAACATCGGGGCCGTCGAAGTCGGTCATCATTTCCTCATGCGTAATCTTGTGGGTAACCTTGTCACCATGAGGCCAGGGCTGACCAGGTGTGGCCTTGCACAGAAGGAAGTTGAATTCCTTGCCTTCTGTGATGCGGTATGTGACTGCGGCTTTGTTCTTGCCAAAGTAAAGCTTGGCAACATGAGTGCGATCGCCGAGGATTTCTTCGGCCTCGGCCATGGAAATGACAGCACGGTAGCAGTACGCGTCAGCGTAGACGGGCTTCACCTGCTCCGGGTGTGTTTTGCCGAGGACGTAAGATCGGAGAGTGCTGGCGATGCCGTCGGCAGCTGCAACAACGCTGGCAGTGGCAACCTCACTGTCCGCAAACTCGAGAACAACACCGTCGACGTCCTCCTTCACAGAGGTAACTCGCTTGCTGAACTTGACGTTCTCGATGGGAATGAAGCTGCTCATAATGTCGAGCAAGTTCTTGCGGTGAGCAGACTTGCGGGTGTAGTCGGAGTGACCCCAGGCGGATCGGAGGTTACCACTCCAAGGCTTGTCGACGCCGCAGCCAGGCTCAAGGAGCATGCCCTCGAAGAAGACCCATTGAGCATCCTTGGGCTTGTTACCGACACAAATATCTTCGTAGAGGGGACGGAAGCCAGGCTCGATCAGGTCCATGGCTAGCAGGCCATTAGGCGCGAAGCCGATGCCAGCACTGTGAGGGAGATGAGCCTTGAGGCTTTTGAGTAAACTCGAGTAGGACCAACTTACCCGACCACAGAGTACTCGGCAGCCTCCTCGTAAACGGTGAATGGCACGCCCTTCTTGTGTAGAGCCATAGCCAGTGCGACACCGGCAATGCCAGCGCCTTTGTCGATCCGCTCGTCAGTATACTTGTGCCCGTCATATTGGGGTCAGAGGCATCTGTTTGCTAAGAGAGCTTACCGACAATGGCAACACGGAACTCCTTCTGAACGGCCATGATGCTGTGTTTCCTGACGTTTTTTTTTTTTTTTCGTTTTTTGTTTTTTTTTTTGGTGTAGACGATGGCTCGGCAATCAGTCTACCGATGCGCAAAGGGGTATTTTCCGAGTCGGCAGAGATGTGCTTGGTCCGACGGAAGCGATCTTGGACGATGACTTCAAGTTTGTATGCAATCAACACGAAGTCGATCTATCATAATTTTCGAGGTTCGAGTTCGGAGGGCCGAAAAGTCAAGGGTGTCGCAACTGACGATGGTCAAAAGTCCGGACCCTCCCGCCTCGGGGATACTACGTTCATCGCCTATGCAGCTGGCTAGCTCAAATGATCATGCGAAGCAGCCTGCTGAGGTGCATTGGAGATGGCATGGGCGTGTTGGAGGGACGGATTGTGGGGTAGCATGGCCGTGGTTGGCTGCCTGGGGTACCGGGTGCTGCCGGGTTTGCCCCGAGATAAGACACCTCGGCCTCAGCTACTTTGGAATGCTTATCTTCAGTGACGAACGTGAGGGGCGGAGAGATAAAGCACCTCAGAATCCGGAATCTGCTCAGCCGTAATTAGCGACTTCTGACTGCCTTAGGCATTCGACGGGTCTGGGTTTGGGCAGGTGCCTGTAAAGGACTGGATATGGACTCCTATCACCTGAGCCGCAGTGGCGTAAGGTACGTACCTCAATCCACCAATTCAGTTGACCGCATTGCGGGGTCCTTATCGGTACATAGTCGGCACTGCAGTCCAGTCACTGCATGTGCGGCTGGATGCAGTAATAGTGGACACTCACCACCTGAAGATAACGCCTTATTACAGTAATATCAGCGCCGGCTTCAGCTTGGGACGGGTCAAACGCCGGTCCAGTCGTTATCGTCAGGCACCGGCAGGGACCTCTGCACCCCCGAACTTTGCCGCCGCCGCCCCTCTTCACTTATTTCTGCGTCAGGTCCGTGATTCCATCTCCCCGTCATTGCCGGCTCGGTCAGATGTCGTCGTCCAACGAGCATCGCAAGAGACTGGCTGACAGGCAGGACATGGCCCCATCCACCGAGAATGCCTCGTCGGACACGGCAGCAACCTCTGCTGCTAAACGTCGCCGCATTGCTCTGGCCTGCACAGCCTGTCGCCTGCGTAAGTCCAGGTAAGCAAGCACCTATTCATTTTCATTGGATTCACCACACCGCCTTGCCGCCATCGCTGCTGCTATTGCCAAGGCGTCATCCCATGGAACACAGAGTCTGGGGTTCTTCCGTGTAGCTTCTCATGCACGATTGCGACATTCCCAACTGTCCTCCTGTCATTCATCTTCCATAAACACGTCTAGCGTGTTCCCTCATCGGATGCTGATGAACTACATCCAGGTGCGATGGTCGACGGCCCTCAAGTGCCTCCTGCGCCTCGCTGGGCTTTGAGTGCCAGTATGAGCCCAGCGAGTCTGCTGCCAACGTGATTGTGCACAAGGGATATATATCAGATCTGGGCCAGCGCATGTCAAGTGTTGAGCAGACTATTCAGCGGCTGCACTACGTTCTTGAAGGCCACCTCTCCGCCTGCTCCGGCGATTCTCAATATAAATCCTCGAGCCAAATCTCGCAACCCGGCCCGCCCGCTTCAAAAGATGGCATCGGCCTGGGGCGGGCAACAGCACTGGAAGAGCCGAGGGATGAAGATGCCAACACCAATGGCATGGCCATGACCTTTGTCGAGGAGCAGACATCGGCCTTTTTCGGTGGTTCATCTAATATCAACTTCACACGTCTGCTCCTCAAAACAGTCAATCAGGTCCGGAAAAATGCGCGGCAGGGACCAGATGGCGTGGACAGAACAAGCGAGGTCGACGAGAGAAACATGGCAAAGGCATCTGCCTCCTATGCAAAGGCCGTTGCCGCCTCTCCCGACTCTGGGTCGATCTCTACGACTGCACTCCCTTCCACCCAGGAGATGGATGTCATGCTCGATATCTACTTCGACACGGCCGGCGTGGTGTTTCCTTTTATCCACGAGGAGTCCTTCCGCAAGACGTATAACGAATGCAATGCTAGTGGTTGGACGAGGGTGCGCCGGACCTGGCTCGGCACACTAAACATGATCTTCGCCATGGCCAGCAACTTCGACCGAGACTCTATCCCATCAGCGAGACAGCGACAGGAACGTTCGACCATCTTCTACAAGCGGGCAACAGAGCTTTGCGGCGAGCTAGCAAAGCAAGTGATCAGTCTTGAGACAGTCCACTATTTGCTCCTTGTTACTTTCTATTGCCAAGGCTCCCAGCGTTCTGTGCAGGCATGGAATGTCCACGGCCTCGCCGTGCGGTCAGCCATGGCTCTAGGTCTCCATAGCCCCCCGCCACAGGAAATGACCAATGACTGGCAGGCCCAGTATCGTCACAGGACCTGGGTCGTCCTCTATTGCCTAGACAAGGTTCTTAGCGTAGCCTTTGGGCGACCCGTCTGCATCCCAGACGACATCATGATGGACCAGAAGCAAATTTTAGAGCACACTCTCCCATCTCCCGACGGATCAAGAACAGACTTTGATCTTCCTGGAGAGTTCCTCGCCGTGTCATACCGGCTGCATCAAGTCATGAGTGCGTCTCTAAAAAGGCAGTACGGCGGGAATATCGGCAGCTCGGAGCCCGAGTACGACGACATGACAGCACTCCAGGCGTCGGGAGAGTTTCGCAGGACTTTGGGCGTCTGGTCAGCTAGTCTGCCTCCACACCTTGGTCTTGTCGAGCCTAACTCGGATTTGCTCAGGGAGAACTCTCAACACAATCGACTCCGTGTGATACTCACACTGAGATACCACAACCTGAATATCCTCATTCACAGGCCATTACTTTGCAGCACACTTCGCCATCTGTTTGGCACCAGCCAATTGAGCGTTGGCAACCCGGTATATCTGATTCAGTTGGCCATGGATGAGGCGCACGAATGCTTTCGTTCAGCTCAGAGCACAATCGAATTAGTGTACACAATACTTGAGAGTGATCAGAGTACCGGCAACAATCTCGGTATGGGCTACTTCAGCCTATACTATGGTATGCTCTCCTTTCCATGCCCTCGCTTGCGGCATTGATGCCCGGAAAAGCACTCGCTAACTGAGGGAAATAGTCTTCACTGCATCACTGGTCATTCTTGGTCGACTATTGTGGGCACAACATGGACAAGCAGACATAGACAAAATTGCTGTAGCCCACTGCAAAGTGTTGTTAGACCAGGTAGAGACGATCCTTCAAAAGCTGGACCATGACAACAGTCTCGTCTTTGGTTGCTCGCGGTATCTCCATAACATGCTAGAAGTATTCACTTCACAAGGTAAGCGCCACCCACGAATTCAAAGCTGCTATCCTCCCTCCACCCTGATCCATATTAGCTAACATGAATCGAAAAGCTTCCACAGCCTCTGTGCACCACGATGGGGTGACAGACTACTCTGCGTCTACGATGCTACGTTTCGATCCACAAACAAGCTCTGCATCGGCACCAAACCAGCTTGAAACAATGATGCACCTGGGCGTCGGGGACATGGAGATGTTCCAGCTCTATTCGTCTGAGATCTATGATGCAGAACTCTTCGAGGGGCTGGACAGGTCATCTGCCGAGTTGGCCACAACTCGAAATACCCAGTAGGGAATTCATCATCGTGGGCGCTGTAAGATATGAACAATCGGCATGGCTTGACACGTGAAGTACAACACGACTTTTGACGAAGGGGGTTTCACGAACACTGGCGTTGGCAGTTTGTAATTTTCCACCGCATCGTGTGCTTGCTGGTGGGACTACCAAAACAGCAAGGTTTGGGAGCCCAACGTGATTCGACCCGGCTCTTGTTTCTAGTCTTTATCAGGTTATACAGCGGTGCTAGTTACGTTTATTCATCAATGACACATTTGCCCGGACATACCCATTTCTGTCGCTTTCTTGTGGATGACATCTGGTCTTTGTGGGAGTCGGCAAGACGAAGAGGAGTCTCGCCCATTGTGGATTGCCTTGTGACTCTCTCAGCCGCTGCTTGCGTTGCCTGTTAGATCTCGTTAGCGAGAGCGCTCGTCGGCCGCAAAATAGGACTACAGTCGAAACCTAGACCCTCTGCGCCATATTCGGCCTTCGACACTACCTCAACTGTCTGGCTACCATCGGCAAGATGCAGAAGTTCAGGATCTCGCACCATCCTGAAGCCTGCAGAGTAGCCCAGTGACATTTATCTCTTTTCTGCCGAGATCGGCATGTAGTGGTGTACGAGAGTTAGCAGCCACTTCAGTGACAAGCTAGGCAACATAGATCTCGGACTTGGGTCAGACATTGATCGCCAACGGATAGAAGCATCATTTGTCTTGATTGAGAGTTGTTGATGCCTCGCCAACAATTTACATAAGACTATGGCACGCACGCGAAAAACAAAACCAAGCCAATGTAAGAGACCCAGCCCGGTCTACCTTAACCAACAAGCTTAGCTCTGGCCCTCCACCCATCATCATTGGCCAGTCCCACGAAGTCCTCATGAAACAAGCTCGTGGCAACGTACATGTCCCCCTTCTTGTTCTTCGGCATGATGTATGTGAGATCAGGAACAGGCGCCATCCTTGCTCGCCTCACAAAATCCGGAGAGCCGAGGCCCTTGCCAAAGCTACACTCGTTCAACCAGTGAAGCTGCGCCCATGAAGAGCAGAGGAAGTCTCGGCCAGCCTTGTTGCCCGCACCGTAGAAGATGGTCGTCTTGTCTTCTGTGTTTTTGATCAAGGTGACGAGACTGCGGATAAAGTGGTCGTCAACAGCCTTGAGTGACTCCCGCACATCAACAGCAACGTCTGCAAAGGAGGAGGTGGCGACCTCTTCCGCCGTCTTCCAGCTCTTGTCCGCAAGAGCCACGAGGTGACCGAGGTAACCCTCGCCTATGGCGGGTTTCACCACCGAGCGCGAGTCAACCGCACGCTGAAGCTGTACCAGCTCGTTCTTGCTGACGCGACCCTCAGCTATACGGGTGGCTGTGAGGCGTTGTACCAGGAAGGCTGTGATTGCATCGTTGGTTGACACCCAGGTGCGGCCACTTGAGGCTTCCTTCTTGAGACCCTCGAGCTGTTGGGCCGAAAACCGCCAATATGTCCAGATCGCCGGCTTGGGAGCCTTCTTGACTTCTGTGCTGGGGCCGGTATTTGCTGCAAGGGCCGACGGCCTGCGCATGCTATCGTGGTTTGCGGGAGCCTCGCCCTCCTTGAGTAGAGGCACAATGGTGTCCGCATCACGCTGCTCAACAGCGACTAGGTCTGCATCAAGCTCTTCGCCGCGACCTGCTGCGGCGAACATCTTCAGAACGGTGCCTTGGCCGTTCATATCAAGGGCATTGTGCATAGAAGCAAAGCACAGGAGGACGCCGCCCTCGACGAAATTAGCCTGGACAAGGAAGACGGGAAGCTCAGCACCAAGCTCGTACTGGTATCCCATGCCTTTGACAGGGCAAAGTACATCGCCATCCAGCATAGCAAAGGGCGCATCGGCAGCGGCGATCTCTGCGTAGGAAGGGCAGAGAGCAGTGCAGTCTTTGGAGAGCACAGGCGACTTGTTCTGATGAGGAGGGTAGGGGACAATCTCGTATTTGCCAGAGTTGGTGTCAGAGATGCCAGTCTTGATCACTTGTCCAGCGAGTGAAGGGTACGCGTCAAAGACCTTCAAGGCAGCTTTGTCAAGGGTTGCGACATTGTCATCGCGGGTCGTGCCGGGCTGATCTGCGAACCCCAAGATCAGCACGGTATACGTGTCCCAGCATAGCTGGCCAAAAATGCCAGGTTGGCGCAGGGTCTGGGACATGGCGACTTGAGTATGAATAGATCTGGAGCGTTTCTCTGTTCTCCTGACACTCCCTTCTGCTTCGTCGAACTGTTCGATTTGTCGTGATGTCTGGTCCCGGGTAGTGAAGACGAGCCTAGGCTGCTATGGTGAAAGGAGGCTTCAATTCGGTTCATTCAACAGAGAGGTCGGGAGGCAGGACAGTTGATGAGCAAATGTCAAATGAAATAGCAGCGCTCTAAGGTAGGTCACGACATTTGCAAGAGTACCAAGTAGGTAGGCAAGGTATTAGTATCTGCATGTAGAGGACGCATGGTAGAGCACACAGCAGACGACAGCTTCCAGCCCCTCGTCTAGGTACCGAAGTGGGAGGTGGGGTGCGAAGCGTGAGACGGAGAAGCTGCCTGCTCTACGTCTGTCAAGGGGTCTCACAGGTTCCCGTGCCTCCCCGCGAGACCCGGCTGTTCCTCGTCATGTGTTGTGGTATTGAACACGGGAACTCTACCTGTTAATGGCCCTGGGCTTGGGAGGGGCTCATGTGACCAAGATTCGCAGTAAACAGATGTGGGATACGAGCACTATCTTGGTCACGTTCGGCGCGTTCACATCTTGTGCAATCAACATTGCGGGTATCTTAAGATAGAGCTGCCAGTGACGCAAAGCTTGCCACTGAGAGAACCTTCGGCTGGGTAAGTCACAGCATTTGTGCACGATTTCCTCAACAGGACATTCTCGGCTGACATCCAGATGGATAATTCGCCAAGCCTATCTGTGAACATGAGACTGCCTTCTGTACTTTAGCCCACTGAGGTTTCTGACACCTTCCAAGTCCTAGGAACACGGACCGATGCGTGGAATCATCACGGCAAAGACTTCCCTCGTCTGACGACTGAGGAACTTGCTATGTTGAAGGGTTCCGCTGACTTGTGAGTAATTACGAACAACAAGTGGTAGAAGTCTATGTATGCTAATCCGCTTGAAATGGCATGTCTCTGAACCACTATGGCACCACATGAGCCACAGGTCTTGCACGAAAGCCAGGCGGTGACCCGCGTTTCAACATGGACGAGATCGACAAGACTTGGGTCAAGGATAGTCAGCCGATCGGCAACCGTGGTGACGAAGGACACCCTCATACTGGTAGGTCAGCTCTGATTTATTGGCTTCATATTATCAAGCTGTCCTTAAAAGTCCGTTACTGACCTCTTATAGTTCCGTGGGGCTTCCGGAAGCTGCTGGAGCACACCTGGGACACGTATTGCGAGTTGAGGATGCGAAAATCCCAATCAGCATCGCGGAATGTGGCTTTGCGATTGAGCACGAGCAGTATATGAACCTCGAACAGATTTTGAACGATCTCGGCCGCCGGGATGACCCCAAAGACGACCTCTTGAACAAATTCGTTGCAGAAGTCAAGGATTGTGCTTGCACTGCTGCTCGGAAAAGAGGTCGCACGATCAGCTGATTACTGCGTTGCGGTGTGCCAAAACTCGTACCAAGAAGTGCTTCACACCGCACAAGACTTGATAGCCAGACATCCAGATACTTTTTGGTTCATTAGTCTGTTTTATCAATCCCATTAAGCTAATAAGAAGTATCAGCTCTATCGCTATAGCAGTCAGACAGTGGGATGTAACCTTTACACAGTAAGTGACCTTACCTAACAAGCAACACATATATTGGGTGTCTTGATGTATTGCAAAAGACACATGCCCTCCGAAGGTCTACCCTGATACGGCAGTCTTGGCAGGGGCCTCTTGAGCCTCGTCCGTTAAGGCGCCGGGTGGCGAAGAGCCGACTAGAACCGCAGGTTCCATAGAGCATATGTGTTCGATGAGGTTCGCACCTCGATCGCCAATTCCAGATCGATCAGCTGAATGATGAAATAAATCAGCCAGTGCTGACAGTCGCCTCCGTCGAGCTGCTCCGTCGGGAAACATCTTCTTTTCGCTGGCGGCATGGACCCGATCGACCCCCATGACCAGGCCCGCTGCAACCAGCCAAAGCGTTGTATTCCAGAGGCGATAGAAGGTAGCAGGGCAAATTCGGAGACATCGCTCACACTCTCGCTATCGCTGAATATACTTGTATCCCTGTCTCCAGCCTTATCACGAGGGCACTGGTGTTCCCTTCCCCGAGCGCTAATCCGGGAATCCGGGGGGGCCAAGGGAGGTGCAACTGAATCGTGCCAAGTGGATCCAACGACATGGACAGAATGACCTCCCGGGACACTCCAGAGTCTAGACATCAGTGGATAATCCTTTCGTAAATTCAGGACTGTCAGGCAAAATTCAGGCCCTTGGACCCTCTAATTCATAGAAGCACGAGGACTCATGAGAAGATGCAAGCATAGAAAAGTACTTGAGGTCTATAAAGAACTAGACGTAGGTACCTTCGCTGGCCGTAGAAAGGTACGACCCCAGCTTCAGGTACGTACGTACATGTACTTTTTCAAACGACTTATCATGGCCAGGCCCAAAAAAGCTAGGTTCAAGGCCCACTATCCCAAGATTCCTATCTTTACCCTGATAAAGGGACCTTGGCGCGACCGTCAGTATCCGGGCTACCCCCGGATACCCGGGCCATCCTCAGCGCGCAGGCCATGTACAACGAAAGCAACGAACTCAGCCCGATCATCCACTTATCAGTATGCCCTTTTTATATCACCGCTGTCCCCTGTGAATGACAGGTTTGTTCACGTCCCTCGAAACACAGCACTTTGTACATGACATTGGTTCCTCATCAACATGGTGGACATCAGCAGCAGTAACCCTTCTCCTGAAAACACAGCAGGAGAGGAAAAGCCGAAGTCGGATTCCGACGCGATTCAAAAAGCTACAACGCACACCAGTGTCGACCATGAGGCCGAGCTCAAGACCGGTCACTCTGTTTCCGAGCTTGACGAGTCCGAGCTGTTCCTCCAGCGACATGGGATCCCACGATCACGCCTCGCCGAGATCCTTGACGCTGCCGACGATGACACCGAGCGCAAACTCAGGAAGCGTATCGATTGGACACTAATGCCCCTGCTTTGTGGCACATACATGCTGCAGTTCATCGACAAGCAAGCTCTGAGCTATTCGGCTGTCTTCGACCTGTTCCCCTCGACTGGCTTAACAGCTTACCAATACTCATGGATGGCATCTATCTTCTACTTTGCATACCTTTTCTCCGAGTGGCCCTCGTCTTATCTCGCGCAGAAGCTGCCCACAGCCAAGGTTATCGCAGCCTTTGTCTTCTGCTGGGGCGCAGTTATGCTTCTCACGACTGCCTGCACCGAATTCAAGGGACTGGCGACGTGTAGATTCCTTCTCGGCGTTTTTGAGGCCGTCATTACTCCTGCCTTCATGCTGATCATAGCCCAATGGTACAAACGTGAAGAGCAGCCTGCGCGGGCCGGGCTGTTCTTCTGCTTTAACGGCATTGGCAGCATGATTGGCGGCATCTTATTCTACGGTGTCGGCCAAGCGAGCGGTTGGGAGATCTGGAGGATCATCTATGCCCTCTGCGGTGGTCTGACTGTTGTTTGGAGCCTTGTTCTGTGGTTTTGTCTCCCAGACTCTATCTTCACTGCGAAACGCTTTTCCATTGAAGAACGCACGATGCTGGTTGCACGCACACTGGCCAACCAAACCGGCACCATGAACCGCACTATCAAGATGCACCAAATTATCGAGGTGTTTCAAGACCCCCAGATCTGGCTGCTCTTCTTTTTCGTCCTCTTGAACGCGGTTATCAACGGTGGAATTGCTGGGTTTGCTACGCTCATCGTCAAGGGCTTCGTCAAGGATCCTCTCTTGACCACCGCTTACGGTGTACCGTGGGGCGCCATCAACGCCGTGTTCAACTTCACTGGACCTTACCTCGCTAGTCGGTTTACCAACGTACGCACATACGTCATGATCATCTGGCTGCTGCCAACATTGACAGCTGTCTGCTTGTTCTGGCAGCTGTCGAGGGACAATCACGGAGGATTGCTTGCAGGCTACTACATCGTAAGTGAACTGTCCCTATGCGTTTCGACGCATGCTACATGTATGAGGTTGCGTGTCAGAACTAACTGAACTATCTTTCTCGTTCCAGTGTGCTTCGTTCGTTGGTAGCATGGTCGTTGCCCTGCAAATGCCTGCTAATAACGTCGGCGGCTACACTAAACGCGTAACCGCAACTGCTTTTGTCTTCCTCGCCTACTGCGCTGGCAACATTATTGGACCTCAGGCCTTTATCGGTCGCGAAGCCCCCATCTATCAGACGGGCTGTATCGTCATGATCGCATGTTGCGTGGGCCAGATCATCATTGCTGTACTCCTGCGTCAATTGCTGATCAGCAGGAATAAACGTCGTGACGCCGCGGCAGCTGCCGCCGTGGGAGAAGATCTTCACAACGATGAGAGCGAGGCTCTTCAAGACCTGACGGACTTCGAAAACCCTAAGTTTAGGTATTTATATTAGACTCGCTCGTTGAGAGGTTTGCCACGGACAAGATAATCACGTCTGAAGTGGTAAGGTGCTACATGTATATATAGTCTATAACAGGTTCCGTTAGAAATAAGACAGCTATATTATAGGACTTAAAGTCTGAAATATTTATATCTATTATATTAGCAAAGGACTAGCTTAAATAATACGTTTAAATACACTAGTTTTCTATTAAGCGAGTAACGCCTTCCTATAAATATATTAGAACTAAGGTTCGTAAAGAGAGTGAAAAGGTATATAATACCGGGAGTACGTTACTAAGTAATTATAAAGTAAGGGGTTCTTAATAATTATATTAATTTCTTAACTTTCTTAGAAATATTTTATTTATATAAAGACTTTTTATTTTATATACTTTTATATATATAAAACTTAATTCGGGCTTCGTAAGCTATACTTAGCTATAGGCCTAGCGGCCTCTAGCTACCCTAAGGCTTATAATAACCTAGACCTATAACCTATGTTTAATATCTATAATACTTATAAATCTAGTGCTTCTATAGCCTTCTATAACTTTCTAAAGGCTAGTGTTACTATACTCGTTATTATAAATTAAGCCTTTTATAATTTTCTATTAAGTTTAGCTTAACTTACTCTTTTATAGGGTATAATAGCGCCCTTACGCTTATAAATATAGGCCTTTATTTATTACTAAATAGTTCTAAATTAAGTTATTTATTTTATAGTTCTTTACTTATTACTTTACCTACCCTAAAGGGTTCCCGGATTATCGCGATTTACTTACCTTACGCTTAGAAAAGTACTACTCTTTAATATTTTTATATTTATTATATTATTTTTATATATTATTTATATTACATTATATATTTATATTTAGCTATAAAATCAGCGCTTTTATAAATTTAATAAACTTTTTATTTAGTATTACGACCCAATATGCGGCCACTAACGCATGTCACGTAGGACCTATAATTTCGTCATACGAACCTATTTATATTCTTTATATAGTAAAGTATAAAGCGGTATGCCGGCCGCCTAAATAAGTAATATTTATACGAATATCGTTCGTACGAATACTAGTCGCACGAATCTTATTTATACGACTAAGGACTTATTATTTTATATTAATTACTTTAGATTATCTATAAAATACTATAATCCGGATTATTATACTTATCTTATAAGCCTTATAATCCACGGGTATTATTTACTTTATATAATAATCCCCTTAGTATATAAGAAGCCTAGCTTTACTATATTTAGTCTTTACTTAGCTCCTTAGTTATTAATATAATTATCTACGTAAGATTTATTATCTCGTATATAGACTATAACCCGACCGCTTAAGTTAACGATATCTTAGTATACTTAGTTTATAAACCGACCTTAGATCTACCTACCCTATAGCTAGTCTAACCCGAACGTTATATATTAATAGCTCTTATTTAATATACTACTATATTAAGTACTTAAGTAATACGATATTATAGCTAACGAATCCTCTAAGATAACCCTTAAGTCTACCGATAAGGGTAAGGCTATAGCTAAGTATACCAAGCCCTCTTAGATAGCTTAGTCTATAAACTTAGACTTAGATAAGTCCGATAATAAGGATACGAAGATCCTTAAGGGATAAATCTAAGAGTTATAAGGGTAGTTATAATAAATTATCGATAGATAGGCCCGCGATAAATAATAATATAATAAAGCCTACCGTTCCTTTAATAAAAGAATAACTTTATAATATTAATAAGCCGCCTAACTAAAGAACGAGATAAATAGCATAAGTAATATTATTATTCGATAGGCTATTAATAAGGATCTAGGAGAAATTATAAAGCTATACTAATTAAGACTATTTAATAATATAACTAAGGACCTTTAAGGATTCCTAACTTAAGTTAGAGCTTATTAATAGTACTTCTTATCTATCTTTCGTACGGAAGAAAATAAAATACGCTATATAATAAGATACTTATTAAGAGCCGCTTTAATATAGTTCGAACTTACTCTTAGGGACTTCGTAACTAATACTTATTAATACCGAAGATAGGAGATAAAAAATATCTTCGTATATTATAATAACTTCGAAGAAATATTAAAAATAACCTTTAAGACTATCGACGAAGAATGCTTAGCTAAGAACTAGCTAGAGGCGTTAAAATAAAAAAAGTTAGCCTTAGATTATAGCGCTTTATTTACTTAAATCGCGTCTAGGATTATTAAGAGCGAAAGAAATAAGATAGCCTTTTTTTACTAAGTGTTACGACCCAATATGCGGCCTTCACGTGCCTCCAGGCACACCCCACTCTTTTTTACCCATTCATAGCATAATTATCACTTACACGAATAATCGTACCTACGATTATTACGATTACCACGAATTATTACGAACAAGCTAAATAGATTATTATTAGGAATAATAATCACCCTAGTATATAGGAAGCCTAGCTTTACTATAGTTAGTCTTTACCTAGCTATTAATATAATTATCTACGTAAGATCTACTATCTCGTATATAGACTATAACCCGACCGCTTAAGTTAACGATATCCTATTATACTTAGTTTATAAACCGACCTTAGATCTATCTACCTTATAGTTAGTCTAACCCAAACGTTATATATTAATAGCTCTTATTTAGTATACTACTATATTAAGTACTTAAGTAATATAATACTATAGCTAGCGAATCCTCTAAGATAACCCCTAAGTCCGCCGATAAAGGTAAGGCTACGGCTAAGTATACCGAGCCCTCTTAGACGGCTTAGTCTATAGACTTAAACTCGGACGAGTCCGATAACGAGGATACGAAGATCCTTAAGGGATAAATCTAAGAGTTATAAAGGTAGCTATAGTAAATTATTAATATATAGACCCGCGATAAATAATAATACGACAAAGCCTACCGTTCCTTTAACGAAAGGATAACCTTATAATATTAGTAAGCCGCCTAACTAAGGAACGAGATAAATAGCGTAAGTAATAATATTATTCGATAGGCTACCGGCAAGGACTTAGGAGAGATTATAAAGCTACGCTAACTAAGATTATTCGATAGTACGACTAAGGACCTTTAGGGATTCCTAACTTAGGTTAGGGCCTACTAATAATACTTCCCGTCTATCCTTCGTACGGAAGAAAATAAAATACGCTATATAGTAGGATATTTATTAAGAGCCGCTCTCGTATAGTTCGAACCTACTCTTAGGGACTTCGTAACTAATACTTACTAATACCGAAAATAAGAGACGAAAGATATCTTCGTATACTATAATAACTTTAAAGAAATATTAAAGGCGACCTTCGGGACTATCGACGAAGAACGCCTAGCTAAGAACTAGCTAGAGGCGTTAAAATAGAAAGGGGTAGCCTCGGATTATAGCGCCCTATTTACTTAAATCGCGTCTAGAATTACTAAAAGTAAAAGAGATAAGATAGCCTCTTTCTACCGAGGTCTTAAGGACGAGGTTAAGGACGAGCTATATAAGGAAGACCGACCTACCACCCTCGCGAGCTATATCGCGATAGCCGTTAAGATTAATAACCGATAATTCGAGCGACGACGCGAGAGGAAGGGATAGTACTTTACTAATACCTTAAACCGCGATCGTAATAATAAGAATCGGATCTATCCTAATATAGGTCGGCCTCGACTCTATTAAAGTACCGCTCTTAGCGGAACTTACGCGGGACCTATAGACTTAGACGCTATATAACGAAAGCTCGCCGCAATAGATAAAAAGAATATTAAATATTATAACTACGAGAAGAAAGGTTATATCGCGCGAGACTATAAATCTCTAAGAAAGGAACGAAACTAAGGCTAGAAACTAATCCTAGAAGGTAAGTATAAATAGCTAAATATAACTAGATCCGGATATAACGTTAGTCTCCTATAAAATATAGTATCCTCTAGGGAGAAAGAACGATAGAAGTTCCTCGAGGAAATAAAGAAAGCCGGAGAAGAAATAAGAAAGTAACTAATACCCCACGAAGCGTTATACTAGTTAGGATACTACGATAATAGCTACCTAACCTATCGGGATAGTAAGGAAAACTTAGGATAGTTCCCTAAGGTATTACGCGGGTCTTACGTTCTAGCTATAATATATAAAGCTACTATAGGGCTAGGGAAGCACCCGGACGATATAGATAAAGAATTATCCGATACCGACTCTATAGATAGCGATAAAGAGCTCTTATAAAAGAAATAAATACTCGAGACTAACTTACTATACGGACGAGTAACCCCACGAGAATAGATAAAAGTAGCGATAGATCGATATAACCCTCTACTATAAGGAGAAGACCTTTAGATAGTTATCCCCGCTTAAATACTAAACAAAGGAATTAATTAAGTAATAGACCGAAGAATAATCTTAGGAGATAACCTACGTATATACCTAGATATACTAAAATACTACGAACTCTTATAAATCTCTTATATATACTACTTTTATAAAGTATATATACTTAATAAAGGAAGGTATTAAGTCTACCTAATTAAGGGACTAGCCACCCGCGTTATTAACGACCTAGACGAAAAATATAAAGTAGAGTTCTACGAGTATATATACGTAGAACCTAGTATAGGATATATAATACTAAGGTAGTTAATAAAATGCCCCGAAGTATACGTACGAGACTAGAAAACGTAGCGTAGATACTAATTAGTAGACTACCTACGATACGCTAAGGCAAAGGTATTCGATTAGTATAGGACTAGGGAATAAAAAGAGATAGAAGAGCTTTAGCGATACGAGAATACCGTAAAAACGCTACTTAATATTAAGATAGTTAAGAATAAGGAATACGCCTTAAGCTACGGATAAGGGTATAAGGGATATAAGGAGTACCCTAACGGCATAAGATTATTATTCGACCCTACCGAATAAGTAAATCGAGATTATATTAATTAAGGTAAGATAAACCGCGAGAGATATACTGAAGCAAAGGAAATACTACGCCTACGATATAAGATCGAGGCACGAGAATACCTTATCCCGCGAGGAAAGGCATATATATAATATATCGTATATAGATACTACGAAAGATATACGTTAGACTACGGAGTTTACTACTATAGATATATATACTACCTATACGAGGAGGAAAAGAAACGATACCC